CGCCAACCCCACAGCACTGTGCCAGGCCACACCACGTCCCACCGTGCCGTGCCATGCCAACCCCACAGCACTGTGCCAGGACACACCACGTCCCACCGTGCCGTGCCACGCCAACCCCACAGCACTGTGCCAGGCCACGCCACGTCCCACCATGCCGTGCCGTGCCAACCCCACAGCACCACGCTGTGACACGGCGTGCCGAACACCGTGACACCACGCTGAACCACGGCACGTGCAGCTGTGCCAAGCCACACTTGGCACCGCCATGCAGGACGGCGCCGTGCCGAGCCATGCCAGGCCACACACCCCCGTGCCACACGGCGCCATGCAGCGCCCAGCTGTGCTGCCCAGCACGACCCCACTCCACAGCACACGGTGCCGTAGAGCACCCCCTGAGCAGCACCGTGTGACACTACAGAAGGTGCCCCCCAGCATCCCCACCTCATCATGAGGGTCTTGTAGACAGAGTCACGGAGCTGGAAGACGTGGTTGCTGACAGCCAGGTTGTGCTGCAGGCGGAAGGGCTCCAACACCACGCCGTCCCGCACCGGGAAGGTCAGTCGCAGCTCCTCGCCGGGGGCCGGCCCTGCGGGACGCCGCCATCAGGGAAACCGACACCTTCCCCCCGGCCATGCCCCACCTCGCAGGGAGCCCAACCTCCACAGCGCGACCCTGCCCACCCCCGTGTAATGCAGGAGACCCCTCCCACCCGAAGGGGCCCCACCCCTGCGGCCACCCCCCCAGCTGACCNNNACCCCTGCGGCCACCCCCCTCCCACCCCTGTGGAGGAAGCCCACCCACCGCAGATTCCTCCAGGACACCACATCCTGCCCAAGCCCCACCCTAAAAGCAGAAGCCCCCCCACCAAACCAGCGCTCCTGATAAAGCCCCGCCCCCGAGGCCACACCCTTTTAGCAAGCCCCTCCCCCTAGTCACAGGCAGCCCACCCCCGGCTCAATCAGCCCCCAAACCCCGGCAGCGGTCACGCCCTCTTCCCTGAATTCCCTCCCACCCTCCGTTTAAAGGGGCAAAGGCCACGGAGCTGTCAGAAGCGAGGCCTGCCCCGTACTGCTCGAGGCACGGGGGCGATCTCCGCGAAGTGCCCCCCTCACCCGCATCACGGACACCCACCTGAAGGGGACGGGTGCACGGGGGCAACGCTGGGCTTCATGTCTGCCAGGAAGGGCGACTTGACATCCTGACCGGGGGATGCGTAGGCGGGGATGCCGCTGCCTGGTGTCATGGGCGGCGTGGGGTTCCCGGCCAGCGGCGAGCTGGGGTACCCCGGCAGTGACCGGCCCGGCTGTAGAGGCAGCATGTGCCCTCAGCGTCCAGCCAGGCCAGCAGAGCCCCACCCCACCCGCTGCCAGACTCACCCCGTTGATGGCTGCTTGGCTGTAGGTGCCGAAGCTGGCGCTCTGCCCATTGAACTGGTCAGCTGGCTATGGGAGGAGGAGGGTCTCCAGGGGCTGGCACCGGGGCATGGTGGACACCCAGACCTCCACCCCTTGCCCACGTTCCCCTGTGGTACCTTGTAATAGGGTCCAGCACTGCCTGAAGCGGAGAGGTACTGGCCCACGCTCTGCTGCAGCCTGTGGCCAGGGTATGAGGGGGACGGAGCGGAGGACTGGGGGGCGCTGGGGGCATACTGGGCACCAGCTGCAGCGTACTGCCCGCCCTGGAGGTACTGCTGTGTTGGGTACCCCTGTGGGGCCAGGGAGTCAGCACCAGCGGGAAAAGGGGTGCCCTAGCCTTCCCCAAGGCAGCACTCACCTCGTTGGAGTATGCCCGCTTGAGGCCCTGGCGGGGCAGCTGCTGGCTCTGGGGAGGTCCAGGGTACGTGTGCTGAGGCACTCGCTGCCCACCATAGAGGGGGCCAGTCCCGGGCGCCCGCACTGGGCTCATGCTCACAGGGGAGACACCAGAAGGGGCCACAACACCTGCCATGCCAGCTGGGCTCATGCTGTTGGGGCCACGGGGTCCAGCATGGGGCAGGAACTGGCTGCTGAAAGACTGCCCTGTGCCCATCTGCAGCAACGAAGAGACAAGGGTCACAGCAGGCCAGGGGGGCTGTCAGCTCCCCAGTTCTGCCACAGCCAGGCTCTTACCGCACCGTACTGGCTCAGCTCCTGGCTCTGTTTCTCCTGCAGCGCAGCCACCGTCGCCGTGGCCGTGGCCGTGGCTGTGGCAGCAGCAGCAGCCACTGCAGCAGCCGCTGCTGCCTGGGTGAAATCAGCAGTGGCCCGGCTGGCGTGCGAGGGGAGCCCCATCCCTCCGGGGCCACTCGGGCCACCGTTGTAGCTGGAGAACAGAGAAGCAGGAAGGGCAATGCAGTGGCCCTGCAGCAGGGCACATGCCAGGCCACAAAGCACAGGGCTGGCCTTACCTGGCAGCGAAGCCTGGCCCACTGGGGTAGGTGTTGCGCCCATAGACACTTGGCTGCACATAGCCCTTCCCCGGTGCCCCCTCAGCAAAGGGCTGCTGTGGCAGGAATGGCGGGGAGCTCATGCCCGAGCTGGTGCCTGCCATGCCAGGCAGCAGTGGGGTGCTGGAGCTGCTTCCCCCAGGGCCCATGGGGCTGCCAAAAACCTGGAGGGTGCAGTGGGAGGCAGTGGGTCAGGCAGGGGCAGTGGCATCCAGGTGCGGGGGATGCCTGGGGCGGGGGTGCTGCTGGTACCTGGCTCTGGGAGGGGTTGCTGACACCCCAGACAGTGGTTACCACGGAGAGGGATCCCGGCGGCTGATTGGTGCTTGGTTGCCAAGGAACAGCCTCGTATGCAAATGAACCATCACTAGAAAGAAAAACAAATTAATGAAGATGAAGGACAGAGGGATGGAGGGACAGAGGGATGGAGGGATTGAGGAAATGGAGAGATGAAGAATGGAAGGGATGGAGGGACAGACAAGGGGATGGATGCATGGACGGAAGGATGGATGGAGGGAGGGATGGGGGGATGGATGGATGGATGGATGGATGGATGGATGGATGGATGGATGGACGGATGGAGCGATGGATGCATGGGTGGATGGAGGGACGCTGCCCCGGCGCCCACCCGTGGGGCGCAGGCGGCAGCGAGGGTTTCATGGGGTTCATGGAGCTCATCAGCGGGTGTGGGCTGGGTCTTCCGAGGCCGCGGCGGGCACTGCGGGACGGCGGCACCGTCTGTCACCGGGGCTGCGGGAAGCAGTGGAGCGGCGGGTGAGGGGCGGCCGCCCCCGGAGAGGCCGGGGCGGGGGGGGACAGCCCGAAGGCTTTCGCGACCCCCCAGCCTCCGCGGCCGGCACTCGGCGCCCGGCCCGCGGGGGGCACGGGGCGCCGGCCGGCCCGCACCACACCAGGCCACCGCGGCTCAGACCTCCCCGGGGCGGCGGGCGCCGGGGGCTTCCCCCGAGGCTGCGGGCGGGGGCAACCACGGGGACTTCCCGGGGAAGGGACGCGGCCCCCGGCCCGGCATCGCGCCCCGCCGCCCGGGGTATTTCCAGCCGGGCCCGGCAGCAGGGGGCCGCGGGGTCACCGGCGCTTTCGGTTCCTCCCGGCGCCGCGGGAGGGCGGCGGAGACGGGGTCGCCGCGAGGAAAGACACGGAGAGGGGAACACCCGCGGCGGGCCTGCCCCGGCTCCCGGAGCCGCCACCGCGGAACCACCGGCCCCCGGCGCCGCTCGCCGGTGGTGACAGCCCCCTCCGCTCCTTCCCCGGCGGCACCGCAGGGACAGGCCCCGGGGCCGGGCCCCCCCATTGCCATGGCAACCCCCCCCCCCCCCCCCGGCACGGCGGGGGGGGCCCGCGGGGGCACCGCCAGCCCCGCCCGTCTCCCGCCCCGTCGGCCGGGGAGGGGGCGGGGCCGGGCCGCCGCCGCGCACAATGGGGCCGCGCGCTCATCAGTATGCAGGCCCCGCCCCCGCCCGGCCAGGCGCGGGTAGCCGAGCGCCGAAGAAGGGTCGGGGCTGCGGGGGAGTGCGCGCCCCCGCGTGCGGAGCGAGGGCAGGGGGGGGAATGCGCGCCCCCGCGTGCGAGGTGAGGGTAGCGGGGAGTGCGCGCCCCCGTATACAGGGTGAGGGTAGCGGGGAGGGGGCGCCACCGTGTACAGGGTGAGGGTAGCGTGGAGTGCGCGCCCCCGTGTACAGGGTGAGGGTAGCGGGGAGTGCGCGCAGCCGCGTACAGGGTGAGGGTAGCGGGGAGTGCGCGCCCCCGCGTGCGAGGTGAGGGTAGCGGGGCAATGCGCGCCCCCGCGTGCGGGGCGCCGGGGGCAGCGCGCGGGCGGCACCGCCAGACGCGCGGGCACCGGTCACCGGCTGGCGCGCACGGACGGTGCCACCGTGCGTGACCCGGTGCGTGACAGCGCAGGCACGGGCGTGCGGCGGGGTGTGGCAGCCGTACCCTCCTGCAGCCGGGAGAGACCTGCTGCGGAAAGCGGCGGTGGGCTCTGGGGACACCGACAGCGAGGCCCAGCTGGGGCTGCCCCGTCGCCCCCAGTCCCCAAGGCCGTCCTGTGGGAGGACGCGGTGGGCTCGGGAGATCACCTCCCTCGACCCCCACTTAGGGGCTCCAGCGAGAGGACACGCCACCCAGCACAGCCCTGTGTGTGCCCCTGGGCTCAGAGCTGGGGGATGGTGCAGACACAGGGGGAAAACATGCTCCCCGAGGACGGGCAAAGCTGAGACACGGGCACAGCACTCACACCTGCAGATGCCCTGGCTCCTCCTCCAAGAGGCAGGGGCTGCACGGGACAGTCCAAGACTGAGAGGAACTGGGAAGAACCCGACTCATTGCTGGACACCCCCACAGAAGGGCTGTGGGGACCAGCCCCGGGGGTCTGGGCCCCCTTGGGGGGTATGGACACCCCCAGAGAAGAGCCCCAGGGAGCAGACATTCCAGGGGTCTGGGGGGCCATGGGTCTTACCCACCATGGCAGCAGGCAGCCCCCAGACCCTCATGCTCCCAGGGTGGCTGCACCGGAGCCACCCTGGCACGAGGCAGACAAGGACTCCAGGCACCAGTGTGGGGTTGACAAGATCTGTAGTTGAGTGGGGGGGGGGGAGGCGAGCGAAGGACAGACAGACGGACAGACAGACGGAGGAGCATGCTGCGCCGCGCCGGCGCTCAGGCCAGGTCCTTGAAGGCATCCAGGTTGAAGGCCGTGTCGAGGAGCCGCTGCAGCTCTGTCAGGTGGGTTTTCTTATTGCCAGTGGCAGGGGCAGCTGCTGGCTCCCGCCCTGCATACCTGCCAGGGACAAGGTGGGCCGTGAGAAGGGTCTGTAGCCACCAATCCCCTCCCAACCTCCCCGGCACCCCTGGCATCCTTACCAGACAGGCTTTGCGCGGTTGATGGTGGTGCGAAGCCGGGGTTTGACGTAGTCGTAGTAGCCCTGGTTCTTGTGCTCCTCCTGGCACCACACCAGCTCGGCAGCCGGGTATTTCTGGGCTTCCCGCTGGAGGAGGTCGAAGGGGAACGGGGAGAGCTGCGGGGGACAGAGAGTGGTGTCACAGGAGACACAGGGCAGGGCCTCAGGGGCTGCAGAACCCCCAGCCCAGCATGGCCGTGGCAGGACCCTGCTCACCTGCTCCACCCTGGTGATGGCCACGTCGGCCTCCATCTGCCGGGCCTTGCGCTCGCGGGTCAGGTCGTAGTACACCTTGCCAGTGCAGAACAGCACCCGCTTCACCTGCTCGGGGTTCTGGGCTGCAGGGCCACTGTCAGGGATCACACGGAGGAAGTGGGTGCCTGCCAAGGAAGAGAAGAGCACCCTGAGCCACAGCAGTTCACAGCACTGTGCCAGCAGCCACTGCACCCACGTCCCACGCCAGCCCCTTCCAGGACCCTGAGAGGCAGAGCCAGGTGACCCCAGGTACAGGCACAGCTCCCACTGCAAACCATCACGTGCCACTTGGGGCTGCTAAATCCCAGCGCAAGTGGCTGCTGATGGGGGAAGCATCATGGAGCCAAGTTTCCTGAGGGTGCAGGCTCAGCCCTAAAGAGGCTCTGGTGTGCCAAGGAGAAGGCCCTGGCCTCACTCAGCCAGCCTCCAGCGTGGGGAGGCTGCTGCCAGGCAGACTTCACCCAAGGCCACAGGCTCCTGCCCTTCACCCTGCGGAGTGGTGAGGGGGGAACACAGGCAGCTCCGTGCTACTTGTACCTGGCAGCATGTCATCAAAGCTGGAGCGGGCTTCGGGGTGGCGCAGCAGCGACTTTGGAGTGAAGATTATCAGCTGGAGTGGGGGAGAAGAGGCAGAGCAAGGCAATCAGCACTGCCAGAAACACCTCCCCTGCAAGCCAGTGCTGGAGCAGCCACCTGCCTGCCCTCCCCTGCCCATCCTGCCTGAGCAAGGGAGCAGCTGCCAGGGATTTGCTTCTCACTCAGCTGCAGTGCTCTGCCAGATTGGGCACCCGTTCCTGACAGCACCAACCACCCCAGTTGGGACATCCCCTGGGGAAGAGGTGGAGGGGCTACCAGGGACCTGCCTCTCCCATGGCTGGAGCTGACTGGAACTGGCTGAAGTTATGTAGCAGTTGGCTCCAACAGCCCTGACCTCCCCGTGGAGTTTGGGAAGGGGTCACAGCCCTTGCAGCCCACACGAGACAGCAGCTGCACATGAAGTGCCAAGCCAGTCCTGAGCACCATGGCCGGGCAGCAGCCAACTGGTCCGAGGTGCAGGAAGAAGCTGCCCCCAACCCGATCCCAGCCCAGGGAAACACCCAGAGGAACACAGCGCCCCGCCTGGGCACCAAGCTGGGCACGGAGCTGCTGGCACTGACCGGTTTGCGGAAGGGCAGGAGGATCTGGCGCCGCAGGACGTGGAAGAAGTTGGCTGGAGTGGAGCAGTTCACGACGATCCAGTTGCACTCATAGAGCTGACGCACATCAAAGTCATCCAGCTTCTGCCTTGGCCAGCACGGGTGAGGGGATTTCAGGAAACACAAGGTACCTCTTGGCCTTGTGGCTCCAGCAGCAGGCAGAGGAGTAATCCCCAGTCCTCCCTCCCCTCCCTCCCTCCCCTCACTCTCCAAAGCACACAGAGACCCACAGAGATCTGGGAGAGGCTCCACAGTTGTGCCCTCCACCTTAGTCTGGCCATGGGGGTGGCCAGCAACCCCCTCTAATGCCACTTTCAGGGTCACCTCTCCCTTGGACTATGCCATGGCCCCAGGTTCCGTGGAGGTGCAGCCTGGGCACCAGGTTCAGGCCCTTTCCCCAAATTCTCTGGCCAGCATGAGACCAAGGCATCCCATGCCCCCTTCCTCCTCCAGGCCATCAGCTCCCAATGTGCTAAGCCCACACAGGTGTTGCTGCCCTCCACCGAGCCAAATCCAGAGCAAAGGAGGGCCAGGCTGAGCACCACACCATGGGGGCCACCACTCACAGGGAAGACATCAGGATCATCGTTGCACATCTGCAGGAATCGCTCTGGGCGGGCAGAGGAGTGCTCAGGACCCTACAGGCACCAAGAAGGGGGATGGTCATTGCAGGCCAAGGCAAGCACGAGAACTCAAAAGTCAGGCACTGCCACATCATGAGCAGTGGCACTGCTGTCCAGGGTTCCACCTCCAGGCTGAGCCAGGGGAGTCCTTACCATGCCCTCCATGCCGTGGGGAAGCAGCAGGACAATGCCATTCTGCCTGACCCACTTGGCCTGCCCGGGACAGATGAACTGGTCGATGATGCATTGAGCAGTGTTGTGGAAATCCCCAAACTGGGCTTCCCAAAGCACCAGGGCATTGGGACTGGCCATGGCAAAGCCCAGCTCAAATCCTGAGGAACGGAAGAGCAGTGAGAGGGTTGGGTTACCCTTCCAGAGCAGCCTCACCCTGGGCAGTGAGCACAGGCCTACTCACTCACCCAAGACACCGTACTCTGACAGGGAACTGTTGCAGACAGTGTAGGGAGCCTGGTTGGGCCAGAGGTGGTTCATGGGGATACAGGTCCTCTTGTCCACGTTCTGATCATGCAGGACATGGTGGCGATGGCTGGAAAAGGAGAAGAGTAACTTCATTGTCAGCCTTTGGATCCCTTCCAGAAGGGCCAGAACTGCCTTTAAAGCCTCCAAAATCAGGTGTTTACCTAAATGTCCCCCTCTCAACGTCCTGGCCGCTCAGGCGGATGTGGATGCCCTCTTTGAGCAGGGAGCCAAATGCCATGTACTCTGCTAGGGCCCAGTCCACTGTCCGGTTCTTCACCATCTCCCCGCGCGTTTTCAGAATGCGGCTCAAACCTGCCGGGACAGGAGCTGGGTCACAGCCAGCACGGGACAGAGCTCCAGTGACACCAGGTTTGCTCCACAAGCAGCCCACGGACTGACAGACTGCAAGTGCCATGGGCAGAGGAATGGATACAGCTCTTCTGGAGGGATGAATCATGGATGAGGAAATCAGGACTGCAGGGAAGGATCAGCTCCAAAGGAGAGCTGTTCCTTGGTTCACTTCCCTTACCCACAGCTCCCTCGTGAACAAGTTCTCATAAGAGTTTGGGTGAGAAGGAACCTTAAAAATCCCAGCTCTGTCTCACATCTCTCTGGAACAAATGCCCAGTCTGGCACAGCTTTCACAAGCTCCTACCTCCATGGATAGTGAAATCCTCCACTGGCACCGAGCTGGCCACTTGGCCAATGTGTGTCAGGTCCTCTTCGTTGAGGCCAGTGGAAGGGCAGGTCATGCTCCGGGGCTGCCCATCCAAAGTGAAGAAACCTGTCAGAAGGAGAAACACCATGCTGCAGGAGATGTGCCAGATCCGTGGGAAGACCTCAGATCACGGACACCCTCAAGCAAAGGCAGGGACACCAGGAACAGGAAGAGCACCACTAACTTCCCCTGTGTGGTGACTTGCTTGAAAATCTCTGCCATGGATCTAGAGAGGCTGGGTGCCTTGCTGTGGCCTCCAAATCACTGCTAGTGCCTTACCTGGCCAGGGTGAGTCCAGCCAGTGCTTGATGTGCAAGATCTTCTCATCCTTGGATCTGGCATGGGCCTCCTCACAAATCTTATCGTACTTGGCAATTTCCTCCTGAAAGGCAGAACCAAGAGGCAGAAGAACATTAACGGGGATCTCCAAATGAGGGTGTTGAGCCTGAGGACCTTGGTAAGCTTGCAAGAGTGCTGGAGGGCAGAGGTGGTCCCCACCACAGGAAGTCCCAAAGCTGTACAGTCCAGCCTCAGAGAGCACAGCCACAGCTGCGACCCCTGTGCCTCAGGGCATGGCTCTGCTATGCTCAGAGCTGACATCTTATGTCCAACCCTACTGATGCTGAAAGGTGGTGCCAGGGCAGGCAGAGCTGGCGGAACCTCTGCGTCGTGAGCTGCCAAAGCAGCAGAACTGGGACAGGATCTGCCCCAGATACCCATGGCCACAGCAATGCCTGTGCTGCAGTGGCCCAGAGCTGCGTGGCCACAGCAATCCTGAGCATAGTGGGATCTGCCTGTGCTGCAGTGGCCCAGAGCTGCATGGCCTGCTCCACACTGATCACAGGGTGATCCTTGAACTAGATGTTCCTGCACTTTTCAGAGCTGGCACAGTTCAAGGATGAACCTTGGCTCTGAACTCCACCACTGCCAGGTCTGCAGCGCACACCCAGCCCCAGCACAGCTCTGCCACCTTTAGGTTACAAGCACAAGAACGTGCTTCTTGTAGGCCCATGTGGGCCCTGCATACGGTTCACACCCAGGTCTGAACCACATAAGTAGTTTTCCCTGGAGATGCCACCAGCAGTTTTCCCCTTTCAGGCCCCGCAGACGGTACCTCATACTCCGGCTGATTTACCACCCCCTGGGAAATCAGCAGCTCTGCGTATTTCTGCAACACTGGCTTCTGTTTCCGGATCTGTTTGTACATCAGGGGTTGTGTGAACATAGGTTCATCCATCTCATTGTGCCCGTTGCGCCTGTAGCAAACCTGCCAGGAGAGGAAAGACGCCTGCTTGTGACCCACCACTCCAAAAGCACTTGGGAGCTACCTGGGTCATGTGAGGGAGGGTCCTAAACAGCCCAGGAGGGACCCAAGCACACCCCTGGGCAGAGTCCCAGTCCCACATTCCTCACCAAATCCACCACCACGTCCTTGTGGAAGGTGCTTCGCCACTCTGCTGCCACATTGCACACGTAGACAACGGCCTCGGGGTCGTCTGCGTTGACGTGGAAGATGGGCGCGTTGACCACGCGGGCGACGTCGGTCGGGTACGGCGAGGAGCGCGCCATCCGCGGGTCTGTTGTGAAGCCAATCTGTAGTGAGGGCAGACAGGACAAGCACAGCGTTACCAACTGCATTTGGGATACAGCTTGGCTATGCAGCTCCTTCTTCGGACACTGATAGCACAGCTGGCTCAGCGTGAGGCAGCTGCGCTTTGCTGTCCCGGGAAACTGTCCGCACAGTTTCAGCTGCTGCAGCTGGGCTGCGGATGCATAACCTGCCTGTCTCCTGTGTCTGGACACAGTGGCACATCCTGATACCTGCTGCAGCTGTGGGGGACAGGCTGGTCCCAGTGAAACACCTCTGGTTCCTGTGGCAGTAGACAGGATCGGCCCTGTCAGACCTCGCACATTGAGCATCAGGTTGTATCACCTCTGCACCAGAGTGGGCTCAAAAGCTGCTGCTGTTGAGCAGCTGGATGAGAAATACCCCCTGCTGACCCCAGGTTAGGGCTCCTGCCATGAACACTGGTGCTGCTGGCTCCAGCTACTCCCTGCCCCAGAGCCTGCAGTGACAGCTCTGCCAGGGACCCACAGGCAGAGGGTATTTGCTCCTCACCTGGTTGTTGACCACAACGTGGACAGTGCCGTGGGTGGTGTAGGAGGGAAGGTCGCTCAGGTGAAACGTCTCGTACACAATGCCCTGCCCTGCAAATGCAGCATCTCCATGCAGGAGGATGGACATCACCTGGGAGAGGGGAAGCCGTGGCGGTCATCAGGGACAGAGAGCAGGGCACCACCAGGAAAGGGCCCAGCTCTCCTCCCCATGGGGAGCTTTCAGCATCCCAGAAAGGACACAGAGCAGCTCATCAACACATCCAGTGCTTTCCCAGGGGATGGGAGGGGAGTCAGCCATGGCTGACACACCACTGGGGAGAGACTGTGGCCACCAGGCCCCTGCAGCAAGGGCAGCACACTTGGGGCACCCTGAGCAGACAGCAAAACACCTGGTATGCCCCAGCTAGGCAACAAGTCCCATTCCCAAACACATACACCCCAAAGCAAAGCCTTTTTCTCACTGGGGGAAGAAGAGAAGAAACCCTGCTCTTTCACACTTTCAGCCCAGAAGCCCCAGGGGCAGCAGCAGGCCCAGGAGCTTCACAGCCACTGACGTTATTTTGTCACCATCCCAGGGGCTGGCTAAGGACAGCGCCTGCCAGGCGAGGACAGGATCAGTCTATTTATATCCAGCGCTTGGGGTGTAGGAGGGAGGGAAGCACTTTGGATCTCACTCTTCCACTTCTTGGGATTGGAGACAGGTCTGCAATGAATCACACAGCAAACAGCTCCCCACAGCCCCTTCCCACCGGGGTGTGGAGAACTGCCTTCTGTTGCCAGTTCCAGCTTTCCCAGTCCCAGGAATGGTTATCTCTAGTCACACTGAGATCCTGCTGCCAAGCCCTCCAAGGTGTGGTGCTTGGATTGCCTTGGGGTTCCCCTCATTCCCTGTCTTCCAGTCAGGGGTTGTGCATTTGCTGTGCCCACAGCCCAGCTCAGTTCAGAGATGAAGAAAGCAGCAGTAGGAGCCTAGGGTGGGCAAGCCCCTCCCAAAGTTATCTCCAAAAACAAAAGGGAAGGATAGGGGAGCAAAGTCAGGGTGACAGCAGGGGAAGGGGCACATCATACAGAAAGCAGATAAGTTACTTCACTTTCCCACCAGCCTATCTCCACCAAAATCCATCCAGCCTAGACCACGTCACTACACACACCTGAGCAGTACTCACCTTCTTCCCCTCCGTGTCCCCACAGTAAAACTGCTCTGCCTTAGTCTTGCCTTGAACAACGGGATCAGCTGCTTCCAAGTGAGAAGGATTTGCCACCAAGGAAAGGGTGATGTTCCTGTCAGTGACGCGGTTAATCCGCCGGTGGTACATTCCCAGGTGGTACTTCACGTCACCAGAGCCCTGGTGGAGGGGACAAGAGAGTCACCCCAGGAGCAGGAGCGGCTTTTGGGGCGTGGAAGGAGACACAGGAGTGCTGACCCCAAGGCTGGAAGAGGGGGGCATTTTTTGGAGGCACTGCCACAGCACAGCAGGCACTCGCTGCAGGAGCTGAACTGGCACCCAGGAAAGCCTGTTCCAGGTGCCAAACCACCACCAACTTCAGACATGCACTCAGCCCATCTAAACACAGCTGAAGGTGTGGGGGATGAAGCAAGTGTGGTGGGTTGGGCAAAGACCCTGAATAAGAGGTAACATTTGCCTGAGCTCTACCCACACTGCAGCAGCATGGCCATCCATGGCACCATTCCCAATATGCTGCCAGGTAGCCCATCAGGGCACCTCGAGGCCCCAGGCTGCTGCTTTCTCACCTTGAAATCCCACTGAAGGTCATGGCAGGATCAAACCAGCCCAGCCCAGCTTCCCAAAAGCCAAATCATCCCAGCTTATGATGCTGAAGCTTTGGAGCATGAGTTTATTGCAGTGACAGAGCTGCTTTTCGAGCTGCTTTAGAACCCCTGGGGACCAGGGGGACAAATAAACTTCTGCTCCTGGCCACCTCTCAGCAACCACCCTAGAGAGCTGAAAACAGCCAGGTTTGTGCTGGAGACAATGGCACATGTCACCCCCAGCACAGGCAGGGCCAGACTAGCACTGGCACCACTACAAAGGCTCCCATCACCCACGTGTGCTTGCAACATGAAAATCCGTGCAACACTGGTGCCACTGACACCAGAAGCAGTGGCACAATCCAGCCACAGCCCTTGGGGACTGCTCAGGGACAGGCAGCAGCAGCCTGCTGCAGGCAGGAGAGAAGCTCACCTCATCAGCAGCCTCCAGCTTGGAGTCAAACTGGCAGAAGATCTGCTCCAGCTCCTTCCTGATCACGTTGGCAAGAACATTCAGGCGTCCCCTGCAAAAGCAAGGCCACTGCTGACAGCCATTGAGTGCTGATGGTGATCTACAACCCCCACTGCCACAGGCCACACCTCCTGACATGGCTGTGGGGTCACCCAGATACGGAGACTCCCCAGGAGGAGTCTGAAGATCCCTCAGCACAGGGATGGTTTGGCCAACACCACATCCTACGTACTTGCTGAGATGCCCCAGAGTGGGTAGGTGCTGGGATTCCAGCATGATTCCAGCTCTGACCTCAAGCCACCACCCCTCTCCAGACGAATTTACAAAGAAGCTGGAAAAATCCTGATGGCCAGAGAGCAGCCAAGGCCTGACCTCTCCAGCTGAGATTCATCACCAACCAAGATCAATTTGGTGATGGTAGAAACCAGTGTGGCCTCCATTACCAAACCCCAGCAGCATCCTCCCACCTTCTACCCGCACCAGGCAGCACCATGGCTAAGAGGCAAGGTTACCTGTGGGGCATTCCCATGATCACATAATCCACTCCCTTCTCACTTGACTTATCAATAATGGTCTTTAAGGCTGGGATCAGCACTTCACATCCCTCCAGACCAAAACGCTTCTCTGAAGACCATTTCCGATGGAGGAACTCCTCAAACCTAGGAGGCAAAGGCAGGGAGGGATCAATGAGGGCAGAAACCAGAGAAGGGGCAGGGACTGCACCAAGGGAGCCACAGCACTGCCTGATGCAGTGCTCAACAGTCACTTCAGTGCCTTCAGAGCCACAGCACTGCCTGATGCTCTAGCTGGTACCATGCAGTGCTCAACAGTCACTTCAGTGCCTTCCCACAGAGCTCAGCTGGCCATTTTCCCCCACTCCAACACCACGCTGCGCTTAATCCTTATTTTTAGACCTTTTCTTTCAGGATCATCAACATTTCAGGCTGTTTGCCAGCACCTGAGCCTGCCAGACAGTGGCATCAACCTGCTCATTAAGCTGACGGCGACAGATGACGTCAAGATGTGACTCAGCTGGTGGCTGCATCACTCTGGCTGGGAGCAAACCTCCTGGGGAAGATAAGGAGAGGGTGAAGCCCCCCCAGGGTACCTGGTGGAGCGGACCAGCCTGGCCAGCAGCGTGCGCTTCTCCTCGTTGGTGAACTGCATGATGCCTGGGGTCTCAAACTTCTGCCGGATCCACTGGCACTGCTCCAGGTCATTGATGAACATGAACTCCACGCCAATGTGCTGGCAGTATGCCATCTGCTCCAAGGAAATGAGGGGCCATCAGGCAACAGCCAGGGCTTCAGCACCTCAAACCCCCAAAGCGCTCCATTGGAGCTCAGGGCCAGGGGCTCTTCATTTCCCCCTTTACCCTTTCAGCCAAGGAGCCCTTTTATGCCAGCAGAGACTTTGATCTTCATGCCTGGCAGCTGGAGGGGGATCCTGGGGGAACCCAGCTGCCAGCCCTGCAACAGCCCCACTTTAGGAGCCTTGTTTGAGTTGTATTCCCAGGAAAAGGGATGCTGCAGGACATGTTCCAGGACGTTGCAGGCCAGCTTGGACCGTGCACATGACCCAGCATCAAGCTGTTTAATTCCCCTTCTCTGAGGGGCCCACAATCAGTCCCTCAAATCCTTTACATCCACCTCAGAGGAGAGATTTTCCCTCTTCATGGCATCACCTGTGAGCAGTCCAAAATCCCACATCACAGGGCAGGGGAGAATCAGAAGAAGCTCCTCTCACAATGAGGAACCCATTCCTGCAGATGGGCTAAGATGTTGGCAGAGTTTTGCTCCTTCCAAAGGTCAACTAGTCTCAGCAGAGATCATCTGAGCAGCCTGCAGCGTGCCTGAGAGCTGCTTGAGACCAGTCCAAGCACAGGAGGGGATGAAATTTGGCAGAAAAGGGGAACTGCCTATATGAGTTGGAAGCCCCAGCCCCAGGGGTCTCAAACCTGCACCAAGACCCTCTGATGGACGCCCATGCAGGACAGCAACACTGCTGCAAGTGCCTGAAGAGGAGATCACTGGCCTCCAGCCCACTCCTGTGCTCTGCAAGTACCAGCTGCTGCTTCAAACTGGAAAGCATAGCTGGAGAGGTTTCAAAAAAGGCAATATCCAGCTGCCTGGGGTTTGCTCCACCTTGGGCAAACCTAGTGTGTTGCTGCAATGCAGCAGAAAGCTGGAGACAATCAGAGCTGAGCAGGTTACTCGAGGTGACTCTTGTGAGGGGGGAAGAGTGCTGAGAAGCAGTTCCCAAGGTGAAAATCTTAAAATGTGTAGGTTGACCCAGGACTTTCCAAAGACAAGTGCTCTGCCCCTGCCCCTGGTCTGGTGAGACCCCTGCCCTCCTCACCTCCAGCCGCCGGATGATTTCCCGGAGTGGCAGAGCCGATTCATTTCCGCCGATGAAAGTGGTTGTGGGCAAGTGGAAAACTTTGTCGAGGTCAGATTCATCCAGACCATAAAAGCCTGCAGGATTTGTCATGGGTGGGAGAAGCAAGAGAAAGAAGGAAGGAAGAGGGACGTGGATACCGTCACACAGGGACCAGGTACGTTTGGGAGAAGTGGGGAAGGGACAAAAAAAAAGCAGCATAAAAAAATAATAAGCATGAAGGAGGTTTATATGGATAAAAACCAAGCCATAATTAAACAAAAAGACATCAAGCACAGAACAATGAGTCATTATGGAAGGCACCGCAGGAAATGAACCACAAAGCAATGTATATGCATGGAAATGGGCAATTAAAATCCAGGGTGAGTCAGGGAGTTTGGAGCCCCAAGAACACAAAAAACACGCAACAAATTATAACAAAGGGGAGAGAAAAGAAACAGGAATTGAGGAGTCACCGAGCACGTCAGAGGTGTCGGCACGTGGTGGGAATTAAAAATGGAGAGTCAAAGCAGAGAAGGAAACAGTTAAAACAGACACAACCAAACAGATGAAACCCCAAGGAGGGAGAGACAGAGAAGCACAAAAGAGAAAAGGCAACAGGGCTCTGATGGACTCTCCTGAATAGCTCAGCCCGGGAGCAGGGTGGCCAGCAGCCACTCAGGGGTGGCTGCCCAGGTACTCTTTCACCCCAATCAACAGCTTTTTAATTAGAGCTTTTGCCTAGCTCTTCTCAGCAAACCTCCACCCTCTGGTGCTGGCAGCTGACGATTTGGAGACAGCTCCTTCCTACTCGTGGTATGGGGCTGTGGGGAGCTGAGCTGGGCCTGGAGAGGGGCCAAGCAGGCCTCAAGAGCTGGAGGTTGGGATTTAGGGCTGCAGGTGCAGACTGTACCCCAAAGCCATCCGAGGTGCCTCACTACCTGCTGAAGCTCATGGTTGTCTCTGGGGAAACTGAGGCACGGAGGAGGAGGGACAGTGCTGACCTCGCTAAACCAATGCAGAAAGGCAGAAGCAGGTCCAGGAACTGGAGAGTCCCATGACCCTTCTGAAGCAGGAGCTTGGATGAAGGAGTCTACAGCCCTGGCACCTTTTTCAGGCTCCTGCTCATACCTCCTGCACTCCCAACAGGGCCTGGTCCCAAGGTGTTTCCTAACCCAGGGCAGGAGCTGCAGTAGACAAACACACCACTACTCCTCCCAGCTTCCTCCAAACCATCCCAGGACCCCAGATTTTAGAGAGGGAGCTTTCAGAGGACCTATTATTTTAGAGAGGGGATGAGGAACACCATCTAAGCATGGCAGGGCAGTGTAACCCATAGAGGACCTGTTATTTTAGAGAGGAGATGGGAACACCATCTAAGCATGGCAGGGCAGTGTAACCCACCTTCCTCAGGGGGATGGGAGGCAAAAACTGGCCCCTCCTGAGCTAGCCCCTTCCTTGTTAAAGTCTGTCCCTTGCTGTTTGGTCAGGAATGGACAATGAGCTGCAGACAGCCCAATCCCTGGACGTGCTCAATGCCAGGCTTGGAGCAACCTGGTCTAGTGGACTGAGTGATATGAAAGGCCCCTTCCAGCCTAAGCCAGCCTGGGATTCCATGATGACAGGGCTGGTCATGGCTCATTCCTGTGCAGCCTTGAGGGGCAAGTCCAGGAACTGGAACACATTCCTGGCTGCCACTGCTGTTCATCCCCTCTGCTCCTGGGACACCAGAGTCCCAGGAGAGGGAATGAAGCCAGGCCCCAGCAGCTCTGCTCCAGAGCTATGCCTAGGAACACTGAACCAGACAGGAGTTGAGAGTTTAGCCCCATGTCTCTGGGGCTTCTCTTTGGTTCCCATTCAAACAGAAATCCCAGAGAGAGGCAGCAGGGAGCATCCCACACAAACTGCCTGCTGAAGGGCTTCAGGGAATCCTCAGTAATTTGGTGAAGCTTGCAGACCTGCAGCACAGGGCTTTGGCTTGTTCTGCTGTGATGCTTTGAATACACTCTGGCACACTTTGGGGAGTATCAGATTTTACAAGGAGTTTTAGGACATCTATGCATCTTTGCTTCTTCTTTGCTGCAGCCTGACAGCTCTGACAACACTTGGTATTTATAGGCAGCAACACCATCGGATGGAGGAAGACAAGGGACAAGCTGCCAAATTTTCCCTGCGACAAAACCAGCAGAAGACAGCTTGGATTTTTAGGAGTCTTGAACCAATGAGGGAGATTGAGGCCTTGTAAAATTAATATTCACAACAAAACATGTACTCTAGCAAGCCAGGCATGCAAACACAGTATAGAAAAGGCCAGCAACGCTCAAACTGAGGATTTATACAAGGCAAAGTGTCACTAACCACACACCTACGTCAAGACTTTGAGTAGAAATTAAAAATAAAACGTGTCACAAAACTCAGGAGTGGTGGGAGATGGGAGGGGTCCACTTTACCAGCTCAGTTCATGCCCAGAATAACCTATTCAAAGAGAGTCCTGCACTCCAGAGGGTTAAGGGCTCATTAATTGCATACCTCCTACTGTTAACACTCTCAGCCGCTCCTTGAACACTGCGAGGTCTGGGGAGGGCAGGGAGGGGGATGCAGAAAGGGAGAAGACAGAGAGATGCAGTCAAAGTTAGTAAAAACATCTGAAACTGTGAAAACTAGTCATGGAAAGCACAAGTCAAAAAAATACAGTATTTAAAATACAGGCAAAATCCATCAGAGGCAAAAGGGCAGGGATGGAGGATGACTATACACTAGGCAGAGGAGGAATCCTGGTGGGAAGTCTGGTGAGAGGAGGGAGGAGCAGGAGGGGAAGGGGGCATCAGACACTGGGGAGCAGTTGAGCTGCATGGTTTGAGATCTCCTCTTGCACCTTGATGGGAGAGAGGGTGGCCTGGCATCTTCATTTGCCACGACCAAAAGCATCCTGCCAAGCTGCATCACAGGGAGTGGGACCCTCTGCACAAGCTGGGAGCTGCCTCCCACCAACACCTGCTCCAGAGGGTCTGCTCTGCTCGTGCTACTGGGAGGATTTCAAGGTCAACCCACGGAGGTAAGGGTGCTGCCTTAGCACAGAGGAGGAGGACTGGGGTGTTGACAAGCAGGCAGTTCATGAGGAAGACAGCGAAGATGGCAGCACAGCAGGCATGCACAGCTGCCTCTCTGGAGCATGCTTGGTGCAGGCAGGAGTGCCAGCACACTGCAACATGGGCAAGCATGCAGCACCAGAGCTCCTGCCCAGCTAGGTTAGGTGACCCAAGTGCCTCAATCTCACCTAGGTTACAAAAAGGCCTTGGAAACACTTGTCGTTTGGGTCAGCAGGGAAAATCAGACACTTCCCCAAAGAGGGGAAAAGGAAGGTGGGAGCACCTCAAGCCCAGGTCCCTGCAGGGGCTCGCCTGGCTCTTCCTGAGCTGGAGGAGGATTTCCATCAATTCCCCTTGGCAGCTGCCTTCCACGGGGAGAAAGACAGACAGACAGAGACTTAGACACACACAGCCTTCCATACACCACCCAGAAGTCAGTGTGCTAAGGTACTATTTCTTCCTTTCTATTTTCAGGGTCATACTGAGTTCCTGTAGTCATCCTGTCCTTGTTTTACACACTTACCATGCCAGACCAGCTGCAGTGGAAGACCAGGATGAGATTTCTTGTTTTTTTTTTTAAATAGAAAAGACAAGAGAAAGGGGAATTGGGTGGCTCCAGCCCCACCACTCCTCAGATTGAGTAGCCCTGGGCAAGTTTTCTGCCTCTGACATTTTCCCCAAAGATCACACTGCTTAATCCAAAGACAGCTTCCAAACCAGAGCCAAACCAGTTGCTAAACAAAAGGCAATGGAGAAGGATCAATTTCTGAGATCAACCATTTGAATCCAACTTATTTGAATCACAGCACTGCCACTTAAACTGTTGGCAACTGTGATCACACCACAAAAGCTAACCTTTAAAGGACTTTGCTGCTCAGAAAGAAGAAACAAGATTGTTTCCAAGTTTCAAAACCACTCCTGTTATTAACCACCCTGTCAAGTGCTACACATTCCTTCAAAGCAAAAGCCCCTCTGCTATGGAAATAGGCTGGGAAAGCCAGGAGTGTCAAGTTTGGAGGAGAGAAAGCCCCAGGAGATCCTGTTGTGACCTTTCAGTCTATAAATGGACTTATGGGAAAGGAGCAGAGAGTCTTTTTACCAGGGTCTGCAGTGCCAGGACAGGGACAAGGGTTGCACACTGACAAAGGGCATGTCAGTGACTAGACATAAGGAAGAAATTCTTCCCTGTGAGGGTGGTGAGGCCCTAGCACAGGCTTCCCAGAGTAGCTGTGGATTCCCCATTCCTGGAAATGTTCAAGGACAGGTTGGACAGGGCTTGGAGCAACCTGGTCTGGTGGAAGGTGTCCCTGCCTGTGGCAGCGTGGTTAGACTAGCTGACCTCCTAAGCTCCCTTCCAACCCAGACCACTCTGAGTTTAGGACTTCCTGAGCAGCACAATAACTCTGCTGCCCACACCAGGCTCCCTTTCCTGCTGAGGGAAAGCTGTCACTGCCACCACTCACAGCTGACTTGCTCTGGGTTTCACCCAGACCCTGCTCTACTCTCAAAAGGGATACACATCCTCCAGGCATAAAGCTTCAGGGCTCTCCTCTCCTACTCTTCTGCAGAACTGTAGTGCCCACAGCAGAGGCTAAAAACCCCGAGTTGGAAAAGCCTTTCCTCATCCTCTCCACTACCCAGCCATGGTGAGTGGCTTTAAATTCACCTAAAAAGTCTTCCTGCTTCCCTCACAATGCTGACTATGAGCACGTGTGCCTTCTCCCACAGCTGGGTTCACAGCCATCATCCCCCCACCTCTTGCCATCAAAATATCTCAGCACAGGACACACTCCTAGCTGGAGCTGGATGGCTCCTGAGGTTCATCCAAGGGTTGGTCTTCCAGAGAAGCATGTCAGAATCCAGACTATGGGATGAAGCAATTTCCTCATCATCCAGTGAACTGGTCCAACCAAAACCTACTCCCTTCCCTACCGCTCCTGGTACATGTAATCCTGTCCGAAGGTCCAGCAGGTCCAGGGCTGGTGTCCCTGTGCTGGCAGATGAATAAGGAATCAAGGAGGGTTACATGCACCGTGCATTCTGATTGGCTGTGTCAATTGGCAAGGTTAGTAATCATCACTGCTGCTCTACTCTACGTTAGGAGCATGAGCATGCCTCTGGAGTGCCAGGGAACTACCCTGGGAAGCACCAGTGAGGTGACAGAGTTCAGCAACCTCATCCTGGCTAGGAGAATGGTAGCAAACTACAGAAATCAGCTCTAAAGCACATGGAGAGGTGCTGGGTTTAAGCACTTTCAGATCAGGATTTCAAGTCCTGGGAAGCACACACACTTCTGTACAACACTCATGCAGCTCTCACTCAAACGCATTGGAATTTCCACCTCTATACTTGGACAGGAATGCATCCCAAAGCTTCCTTGTTATGATCACCAGTAGGGACTCACAGCTCTGTCTTGGACAAAGGGCAATTAAAGGATTTACAGATGCTGTGGCAAGCTGGAAGTTCAGGAGGGCAGCCCCAGCCCTGCAGAGATGAAGCCAGCACATTCACCCCCAGCTCTGAGGGTCCCCAAGGGCAGCAAGAGGAGCTGAGAGAACAGACCTCCAGCTCTCACCAACAAAAAACCTCTCTGCTTTGCATTTCTAGAAGATGCAATTGCTTCCAGCCCTTCTGGGATCTTGCTTCTGGCTGAGCAAGATCAGTGATAACACTGATTGGTACTGGTTGAAGAAACATGAGCTGAGTACTGGAGTGGCAGCCGGAGGGTGGCAGGACTGCGCTGCTGCTGCTACCGGCAACTACAATTTTAGAGTGATCATTACTAAGGAAACTTCAGACCCCTGGCCTGTGAAGCAATCTACCTACGAAGCTGTGAAAGAGAGGGGAGCTCAAGCAATGCAGCACCAACTGCTCTCAAAGCCCTCACCCAGTTTGTCTGTGGATGTGACAATATCGGCTGGAAGGGAGGAGTCCAGATCTGCATCCAAGATGCCCAGTGGATCGAGTTGTGCTACATGATGCCCTCGAATCTATGAAATGCATCAGGAATGGAAAGGAGAGCAGGAACCAAAAGGGAGAGAAAAACAAAAGAGGGGAGGGGTAAAAAAGTTAAATTACATTAGAATTAATTTGCAGAGTAATTCTCACCGACGTTTGGAGAAACAGTTACTGGCGCATCATCAAAATTTACACAACTAATGCCGAGAGGATCAAGCTTTGCAATGTGGTGACCCCTGACCTGGAAGCAACAACACAGATTAGTCATTAAAACAAGTTAACTGAAGAGACATTCCATTCCTGGGAAGTTCCATCAGCAACAGGGGGAAGCAGGATGGGTGCTCCATGCCACTGCCAAGCATGGCAGCATTCCAGACAGCAGCAAACCACCCAGTGTGGAGAAGACCTCCCCCTCCCTGCCACCCTGTTTGGATGACAACAGCTTTATTCTTCCTACTGCCCAGCAAAGCATCAGCTGAGCTTCTGTCCCAACAGATCAGCTGCTCCTATTCCTAAGGAGGCAGCCCAGCTCCTATCCTCCATGCAAACATGTGCATCATTCACACTAACTCCAGCCCACCTCAGCCCCTGCAAGCCCCTCTACAAAGGACGTGACCCTCCTCGGCACAAAGTCCCCTTACCTGATATGCCCTGATGAGAGATTGCACTGCAAGATGGTCCTCCACCAGTTTATCCACGTTAGGCTGTGCCTGAACCAGGGACTGGGCTTGGGACAGGGTGGAGAGGCTGGTAGTCAGTGGTGGGGGGCTTTGGTAAGCAGTGCCTGGAGCAGCTCCAGCATTGGCGTTGCGAAAAAAGATGTCCCATGACTAGGAAAAAAGAAAGAAGAGAGGTGAGCAGGGTCTTCATTTGCAGTCCAAACACCTCCTCCAGGCAAGGCTACAGAGGTCTCTACTGCCAAAGCAGAGGACAGAACTGCCTCCTCCACTGCACATCAGCTCCATGCAGCTGCTGCTGAAAGCACCCACCTGCCTTGAACAAAAGAGCAACAAAGCTCTCCCACTATTCCAGCTGCATCACCATCCCACTTCCCATCCATCTGGATTGCTTCTTTTGGCATGAGACCAACACCAGAGCCACCCCTCCCTTAGCAGTGGCATCAGAACAGGACAGAGTGATACCCCATCCCTTGGCTCTGCTCCTGGAACCACTGCTCTGAGCAATAAGCCCTAGCCCGGACTTATAGCTCATTTCCTTCTCCCCTGGGGAGGCCACTGCTCAATAAATTCCCCAATATTTTCTGAAAAATATTTCTGCCCTGTAATCAAATACACCTCTTCCTCTTTCCATGGTCTGAATGGCCAGAGACCTAAATCCCAGCATAAGCTGTATTGTTCAGCCCTCAACCAGCAAAGTTTTTATTTTTCTATCTCTTCTTCAATTTTCCCCCATCCTTTTGGTGACACCAATGACAGCACTACAGAGGAACTCCCATACCAGCTCTCCCATGCCCAGAACAAGGCAGCTGCCTCCTCTGCTCCTGTTCCCTTTGCAGATGGGCATTTCTAGGTGTTAAGAAAACAAATCAAAACACTGGGAAAAAGCCCTGGACAGACTTGGTGCACTGTCATACCTTTCCAGCACTGTCTGAAAAGCCTGGAAGTGTCCCAGGCCAAACCCAAGTTAACCAGTCTCCTTGTAGAAGCACCAACAGATTTGGGGAAGGAGAGAGCCTGGCCAAACAAAATCCAATCCACATCCTCCCATGACGTGTCTGCCTCATCTCATGTGTCACCAAATAATGGCAAAGGATGTGAGGGCACAGCAGAACAACAGCTGTGTGCCAGCACAGACCCAGGAAGCTGCTAAAGCAAACAAATCCCCTGGGATTTGCATGCTGGCTTCAGCCCAAGGGTCTCTCCACCGCTGGGGAGCTTGGCATCCTGCACCTTGGAGAGCACCAAATGCAGCCTTGGCAATGGGAGATAGGCCAAGCCCAGCCATCCCCAGAGTGTTTAAATCAAGTAGAAAAGTGCCCTCAAAGCAGGGGTTGTTTGAGGCAGAAAACAGCTTTTGTCCCCTGGAAGCAGGGTGGAAAGGACTGAAAATCTGCCCTTTGCTGGAGTCACCCCAGGTCAGCTGTTCCCCCCCGAGCTCCTCCGGTTGCAGCACCCATCACATGCCCCAGGAAGGTATTTCCAGACCCAATTTACCCAAACAGCCCATTGTCCCATCACATGACTGCAGAAGGTGAGTAAATTTAGAAACAGGTCACGCTAAAGGAACATAAATAAGATCTGGAACATTTTGACACTGTAACTGATAAACAATCACTCCCTCAAGGGAAAAAAAAGGGAAGACAGAAAATACCCAACATTGCTCTGACTGCTAAAGGAAATTTCAGTGGGAAAACAGGGAGAGCTGCTTTTTGTTCCATCTCAGCCCTTCCCTTCCATAGGCTCAGAGCTCCTGGGTGCCCCCAAAGCCATCAGCTCCTGCAAACAGAGGGACAAGCACCCAGGGATGGGCTCTGTGCCCTTGGGATGGAGAGGAACCTGGCTGGATACTTTGCTCCACGGTTTAATCTTGGTTCATGTACTGGCAAATAAAGACAGGCAAGAGAAAAGGAGCACCTGTCAACCTGAGAGGGGGGTGATGGGGACAGGGACGGAGCCAGGGGTGTTGATTTTATAATCTTCTCCCTTCTGCCATTAATTTCTCTTGGAGTTGCAATTAGCTTCTGTTTTGGAAGTAAAAGTTCACTTTTTCTAACCCTAAGCTCTGCAAACAAGGTGTGGCACTTTCACTGAGTGCTTTATTGCTCCACAGAATGACACCTGGATGGCACAGGGCAGGCTAGGGCAGAGATAAGGGCCATAAAGACATCAGCTTTCAACCTGCTGATGTGGTTTTGAATTCAAGAGAATCCAAGGGCTATCCCATGGGTTTCTGAGGAGCACAGAGGTGCCTCTGGAGCTCCCATCTCCCAGGGGAGAGGCTGCCCCATCAGAGTTATCCTGCTTTATCATGGGAAGGAGAACTTTGGACTTAATCCAGCACCTGCCAAAGGTAACAGCAGTAATAAACTCATGGGGTTATTGTCCTCTGACTTTTCCATGCCCGTGGCAGCTCTGTGAGTGCTCCACTTGCTTTTATACCCTGTATAGATGCATACAGGATATAAGATACATAGATATACATTTTGGGTACAAGAGAGCTCAGATCCAGGGCGTTTTTAGACGCCCCACAGCTGCAACACAAAGCATTAGCCTGGACTGGCTTTCCCAGTGCTCCTCCATGCACTGGAAAAGTGGAATTGGTGAACCAGCTGCCTGCCACACACCAGGACAGTTCAGGCTTTAGAGGGATCCTAGGCTCAGTTCTGTGAGTGGAGCTCAGGGCAGACTCCTCTACTGAGAACAGTCCCAAACCAGCTCACCAAGCCAAACCAGCACCTTCTACCAAATTCAACTTCTGAAGAAAGGTGTGGGCTCATGCTGTCATGTCCCAGTTTCTCAGCTTGGAGGTCAGGCATGGAGAGCAAGAGGGGTCCATCCACAACAGGCACTGAGGGTGCTTCAGGCTGGGACACACTGCTTCCACCTCCAGCTCAGGCTGCTTCCTGCTCCTTCCCCTGCCACGGGCTCCAGAAGCATCAACCCTGCTTGGCATGGTCTGCAGGCCTGGCAGCACCCCCTGCTCCAGCAGGGAGATGATGAACATCAGAACTTAAGGCTGCAGGAGGTCCTGCTCCAGCAGGGAGAAGATGATGAACATCAGAACTTAAGGCTGCAGGAGGAGGAGTAGCCTGAACCAAATTTAAGGCAAATTTAATCTTTGCTAAGAGCAGGCAGTGAAGTAGCAACCAGTGGGTTCATTGCTGTGTCCTTTATCAATCTAGACAAGGACCTTCAGTTTTCTGAAGGTGATGGGGTCATCAAACTCCTTTCAATTTAAAAAAGGGAATGCCAAACACTGGCAAGTTAAGGGGTCTGTGTTAAGGGCTGTTTCATGTACAGATCCATGGGGAGAGCTGTGTCCCTGTCACCCAGTTCAACCCAAACTCCAGTGCTGCTGCTTAGGGAGGCTGAACCTACCTGAGATGTACATGCAGGTACCACCTGCACCCACAGCTGTTTGGCCACCTTCCTTGAAGCACCCATGATGTTTGCTTAGGGTATGGGGAGACAGTGTGGGCTGTACCAAGCAGCCAAGCTGGTCAAATGGAGGGCAGGAGGATGGTGTCCCCACTTTTAAGGGGATGCAGTCCCAGGAGCAAGCAGCACTGACTGCCCCCGTGGTACTCCACTGGCATCCATCCATCATGCCTTCACCTCCTCCTTCTCCCACTCTTCTCTAATTTTTATTATTCTACTGTTATTATTATCCAACTCTGCTATTTGGACTTGAAAACTAGAGCTCAGCTAAAGGATTCCATGCAGAAAATGCTCTAAAATAATCTATTTTTTACCTTCCCTATTTTAAGCAAGCACTAAAGCTTGTTCTGCAGTTTAAACCCTTGGTGTCTACAAGGAGGAAATGTATTCAGTGTGCTCAGCTGGCACCATCACACCAGCAGGAAGCCTCAGAGGTTTTTGGTGACAACATAAAGACGCTCCAGCTCTTCCCAGTTGAACGTGTCCCTCCTCCCTGGTGGGACACAGCACAGCAAGGAGCAGCTGGTCTCTGTGTTACACAGGGAGAGAAAAACCTCAGCCAGGTCCCCGTGACAGCCTGACTCCTTCCAAGAGCTCCACCCTAGGATCTGACCTTCCATCTGGCAGGACAGAGGCCAATGCTTATCAGGGACAGCAGTGGCACTTTCCTCCCCTGGGCAGGGCACACAGGCTGATGAAGCCTGCAAGCCAACACGACCAGAGACAGCTGCAAGCCCAGCCCGAGCACAGCAGCTCAGCATCAGGGGACCCATGAAAAAGTGCAGAGGGGACAGAGGAGTGCAGAGAGGAGCTGGGATGGAATCTTGGTAAACAGGTCACTGGAACAAGGTGGAGTCCACACAAAAGACAAGGCCAGAATGAGGCCAAGTCTGTAGATCAGCAATTTGGCTTTACACACACAAGCTCAAAGCCAAGCTCAGCTACATCTGCCCCAACACAGAATACCACCCATGCCCGAGACAAAAAGGAAACCAGTTACAATGTGGAGAACACCCTCCTTGCCCCTTTTCCCCATCCTCCATTCCAGAATCAATCCTCTTCATGAGCCACCAGAGATGGAAAAAATACAGCATTGGGAGCTTGCTACAAGTGGACTCCCAGAAGCATTCCTTGTATCCGCTTGTGATCCAGGATGTCGCCCATGTCCCAAGCCCACGGCGTTTCCTCTTGAACAGAAAAAGCTCCTCTTGCTTCTTGCTCAAGGAATCACTGCTGTTTCTTTTTGGGCAAAGCGAGGCAGAAGGACCATCCACAAACATCCAGCTCCTACTGACGAATTCACTCCTCCTCAAGAGGTGGCACTTACCTGCACCTACTGTTCAGACACACAGAGAAGTGAAGGTGACGTCCTGGCAAGGTTGGTCCTTACCTTATGTACACTTTTGGGATTTTCCAGCCAAGCATAATACATTTCCTCCACATAGTTTGAACTAGTCCCACTCAGAAATGGCTCGGCAGCCACCGGTGCACTGTAGCACCTGAGCTGTTGGAACGTCCTGGGTGCTGCCGGTCTGTGTTGGGAAAGTGTCTTTACAGTCTGTGAGGCCGTCAACGGCCTCAGTTTTGCTGCACAAGTCCTTAAGTTAAGCATTTTTGTCCTGTTTCCTCACACCAAGGTCCTGTTGAGGAAGAACAGAAAAGTGGGTTACGAATTACTGCAGGAGAGCACTGAACAGAGACCACCCCCTCGCCGAGCACGGAGAACCGAGCTTAGGATGAGCTCTTAATTTGGATTAATCCATCCACCCTGTCCCACAGCCAGGGTCCTCATGGCTTGGAAAGGCAGTTTTCACTCAGTACACTTGGCATGGTCTGCCTCTCCTATCCCTGGCAGCATGGCATCATCATCACCCCTGTCACAACAGTGCACAGTAAATCTGCTTGGAGGGCACCCAACACCGGCCTCGAATGAGCCACTGCACACCAAAGCCACCCACATCCCTTGATTTCAGTTTCTTCCATCACTCTCCTTTCCAGGCTGGTCTGGGCTTCCATTTCTATGACCACTCTGCTTGGCTGAGGTTTTCTTCTTACTTTGTTGTGATGTGCACCAGGATAAAGCTGGGAAGAAGCTGTCTACAGGGAGAACTGCTTGCAAAGCAGGGCTATAGCAGTGCAAAGCACTTGAGAAGTGGGCTCCAGGAAAGACTGCTGCTCCTAAAAAGCCCAGACTCAAGAATATCAGTGCAGCTGAAAGACCCAGAGAGGGGCTCTCCCCTGCTCAGAGAACCCAGAAAAGTAACCTGGAGCCAGTGTGGGACCTTTGAGAGCTCCCACCCTGCAGCTTTCAGCAGGGCATGTACTAGGAAGCCTGGGGTCAGCCATGGGGTTTTACACACATCCAACCTAGCACCACAGCCCAAGGAAAGCACTGGAAATCATCCTGAAGGAAGTGCAGGCACTTGGAGCTGCCCTTTCCACCCAGCTCCTCCCGCAAGAGGCAGGAGCCAAGGCTAGAGGTGACCCAGCTGGCTGCTTTCCATATCCCAGACCAGTCCAACGAGCAGCAGCCCAAAGGCAAAGCAGTCACCACGCCTTCGCCAGATTAAAATGAAATTTCACAAGGGACTAGAAAGAACAACACACCTTCACAGCCAGCATGGTGCTAGCCAGCCTTCCAGCTGAATCTAGTTCAGACACTGATCTGTCCCCTGCAGTGACCAATGACAGGACACAAGGGCTGCATCAGGAGAGGTTTAGGTTAGATATTAGAAAAAGGCTCTTCACCCAGAGGGTGTTTGGACACTGGAACAGCCCCCCCAGGGGAGTGGTCAAAGCACAAAGCCTGAGAGTTCAAAAAGCACTTAGATTGTGCTCTCAGGCACAGGGTGTGGCTCTTGGGGATGGTCCTGTGCAGGGTCAGGAGCTGGACTTGGTGATCCTTGTGGGTCCCTTCCAACTGAGCATATTCTGATTCTGTAGTTCTGGCTGCCCGGCATGACAGGGGCTACACTTCCCATTGCAAACTCTAAGGTTTTGGTTCAAAGAGCCTGAGGAAGACCCAGAGTCACCTGAATTCAGACAAATTTTTCCCACAGGAAAAAGGGAACCACTTGTTTCCACCCTGCCCACAATAACACCTGGCAAGAAAGGCCAGCAGGTGCAGGACCACAAGTGCCACAGCACTGGGGATTCTCCCAGTTCACCCTCATCAGATCTACACAGCAAAACACACACTGTTATTTTTCTGAAAGGCTAAGAAAGTCAGGGATGTTCAGCCTAGAGAAAAGAAGGCTCCAGGGAGTCCTTAGAGACCCTCACAGCCGCTAAAGGGGCTCCAAGAGAGCTGAGGAGGGACTTCAGACAAGGGCCTGGAATGACAGGACAAGGGGGAATAGCTTCCCACTGCCAGAGAGCAGGTGAGATGGGCTGCTGGGAGGAAGTTATTCCCTGTGAGGGTGGTGAGACCCTGGAACAGGTTGCCCTGGATCCCTGGAAGTGTCCAAGGCCAGGGTGGATGGGGTTTGAAGCAACCTCAGCTAGTATAAGGTGTCCCTGATTATGGGGGGGTGGAACTGGATGATCCTTCCCCACTCAAAGCGTTCCATGATTCCGTGATATTTCAGAGAGCCAACTGAATCCGGTGCCAGAGCACAGGCATGCATATGGCAGGGAAAAAGCTTTAGCACACAAGTAGCATCATCATCTCCAGTTTCATATCCAGTTTTGGTGCTGTCACTCAGCAGCATCCAGTGACCTCTCTGGAAAACAGTGAGGTTAATGCCAGAGTTTGACCCAAAGTGAGCAGAACTAGCTGCTCTCAGAAGATCTCTTGCAGGAAAGGTTAGCTAGGAGCCTGGACAGAGACAGGCAATCCCAGCTGGAGCTGGGATGATTGCAAGTTGGATCAAAATAGAGAACCAGGAGCAAGGACGTAGGAAACCAAGTCTGTGATAAGGGATATCAGGGTCACAGAGGAACGCAAAGGTCACACGAGGAGTGACGACTGAGGAGTGTGCAGAGGGGCAGCCAGCCACAGCCCAAACCTCACCGAAAGGTCACCTCAGGAATGCCCACAACAGATGACGGCCCGGAGCGCGCCAAGAAACAAATTAAAGCTAAATGTGACCCACCCGCAGCCGGGACGGGGACGTCGGCCTAGATGGCAGGTACTTGGTAAGGACCTGCGGCTTAGCAATACCTTCTAGGTTAAAAACAGCACAAATTCCACCTTCCAGGAAGCGCCGGGGCCAGAGCCACGGGCTGCAACCACAGCTGATCCAGCACCGGGCACCTTCGGGCCCGCGGCAGGCGAGGGCCTCAGAGCGGGCGCGGGCCGGGGCAGACCCTCGGTGTGCGCTGCAAGGCCGACCCCAGCCCACCAGAGCGCTCCAGAGATGTCCGCGAGGCGCCGCGGGCTCGCACGGCGTTCCCCGAGCGGGCACACGGGACGGAGCGGGCCGGCGGAGGGCCCGGGCGGGCGCGGGAGAGCCGTGAGGCGAGCGGGAAGGGGCAGCGGGACCCCCGCCCCGCCCTGAGAGCGCGCCAGGCCCGCCCCCGCCCGCGCCCCCCAATCACCGCCCGCCGCCGCCGCCCGGGATTGGCGTCCCTCGCTGCCTATAGGCCCGAAGCGAGCAGCTGAGCCTTCCCATTGGCCGCAGGGCTGCCCATCTCGCCACAGTCCCGCCCCCCCCTCCGCTCCCCTCCTCCCAGGCGCCCGGGCGGCGCCAAGGACACCGGGGCGCGACCGCGGGCTACCGGCCCCTCGCGGCCACCAGCGCGACCCCCGCCCCGCTCCCGCTCCGGCTCCAGCCCCGACCCCTGCCCCCGGCCCTCCCGCCCAGCTGGGCCCGGCCTCACCGTCCGGCCCTGGCGCGGAACCCACCGGCGTGTCCGTACACCCCGCTCGTGGTCCCGGCTCTGACAGCGGCCCCGACCACCGGTCCCGCCCCGCCCCGCCTCTCCCTTGCGTCACTACGTCGCGTCACCACGCCCTTCGATCCCGGCCCAATGCGTCTGCGCCGCCCAGCGTGCAGTGGTGGGGCGGGGCCGGGCCCGGCAAGGCTGAGGCGCAGGAGGGGCCTGGGGACCGCGCCATGGCCGGAGAACTGGGCGTGCAGTGGTGGGGCCGGGCCGCGGGGCTCGGCAAGGCTGAGGCGCAGGAGGGGCCTGGGGACCGCGCCATGGCCGGAGAACTGTCACCGCGGCCTGGGGACCCCGCCATGGCCGGAGAACCGTCACCGCGGCCTGGGGACCCCGCCATGGCCCGGGGACCCCACCATGGCCGGAGAACTGTCACCGCGGCCTGGGGACCGCGCCATGGCCGGGGAGCTCTCACCGCGGCCTGTGGACCCCGCCATGGCCGGGGGACCCCACCATGGCCGGGGAGCTCTCACCGCTGCCTGGGGACCGCGCCATGGCCGCAGAACTGTCACCGCGGCCTGGGGACCCCGCTATGGCCGGGGAACTCTCACCACAACCTGGACACCTTGTGTGGCCTGGGGACACCCACTGTGATTCATGGCTCTCAGCCCTCATTTGTGCCTTGGTGACTCTCACCAAGGCTTCAGGATCCCAACCGTGGCCTGGGGGCTCTGCCATGGCCTAGGGATCTCCACTGTGTCATGGAGAATTCCTTGCTCTGGGGCACCTCGGGCTTTTGGGGATATCCCGCCATGTGTGACAGCCAGCGGATGCCCAGCAGGGCACAGGAGGTGCTCTGGGAACTCTTTTTTCTGGCAATTTCCTGACAGTGAGTCATGGTGGTGCCACTCTCGGCCACAGCAGCTGTGCAGGGCTGGATGGTACTTTCAGGAAGTGAAACGGGTGCCAGGAAAACACCCCAACAGCCCAAGTCCACGCAAGCCCGGCCACGCACATCCCCTGGCCCTCCCAGTGTGGTGCAATCTCCAGCACACCGGATGGACACGAGGATGAGAAGAGCCCCTAAAGGCCATGTCTCTGAAGGCCATGTCCCCATGGTGGCACGAGTGGGCACAAGAAACTGAGCAGACAGCGGGGTCCTGCACCCACTGGTGTTGGGGCAGTGAGGACAAGAGGGGTGACAGAGGAGGCACAGCTGGCCATGGCACCAGGGGTCTGGGCAGTACGGGAGGAAGCTGTGGGGAAATGGTGGAGTGGCAGCACTTGCACCACTGGCCACTTCCGGGCACCCACAACCCCCGGCCCTGACACCGATGGGTGTCACCACAGCTGGGCTGGGGCTGGCTTTGGGTCTGGGGTCAGAGCTGGCTCTGAGTGAGTCCAGCTCCCTGCTGGGTCAACCAAATGGCAGACTGGCACACGGTCACAGGCCCCACACATCAACCCCGAACATCCCCTCTGCTCTCTGCCCCACACGCCAGCCCTGGAGCATCCTTGTGCTCTGCCCCACAGCCCAGCTCCAGGTCATCCCCTGCTCTGACCCATATCTGGAATATTCCCTGCTCTGCTCCATGCTCTGCCTCCCCACTGCACTGCTTGGGGCAATCAACCCCCACCTTCCCAAGCCCTCCAGTCTCAACAGAGTAATTGGGCAAAACCGAGCGTTGCGAAACCTGGAAATCCCACTCTGACGGCGCTTCCTTCTAGAGGCTCTTGAAAACCAGCCACGCTGACAGCGGGCTCAGAGAGCAGCCAAGCAGCACTGCAGGCAGGACAGGCAGCAGCAGGCAGCCAAGCGCCTCGGAAGTTTGCAGGTGCTGAGAAGTCTCTGCCCAGGACTCTGCAGTCAGTGGCGGCAATGGCATTCGTCCCTGATTTGGACACACTGGAGAGCAGCAGGTAAGAACAGACATGCTGGAGAGGACTTTGGGGATGTGATGCTGCATTCCTGACCCTGACTTCACCATCTCCCTTCTCCTTTCAGCCTGAACGAGGAGACGTTGTATGGCCCCAGCTGTCTGTGCCTGCAGAAGGTAACGCTGTGGTGGTGGTGGGAGTGGTGGGGTCCATGTCCTGTGGAAGCCAGGCTCTCACCCTAGATCCTCCTTCTTCCCCAGAAGCCCCGACTGGATTTGGAGGGGACATCGCCTGGGGTGGACATCCAGGTGACGGTGACAAAAGGACCCCTTTCCAGGACCTTTCGCCAGGCTGCCATCCTGGTGGTTGCTGTGACCAAGCTCCAAAAGCAGCTGACAACCAAGGACTTTGCTGACAGTGACCTTGGCAGCTTCTTGGATGATATTTTCGGTATGAGGGTGATGCCAGGGGTGGCACCCCAGCCAGAGGATATTCTTGGGGGGCATTCTTGGACCTGGGAGCAGCATCCTCCTGACTGTGTCACTCCCCACAGAGCCCATCTCCTTCCAGCACATCAGAGGCACTTACACCAGGGCACCCGTTTTCCGCTACACTCGCTCCCAGTCCTTCGACATCCTGGACATCGACCACAAGTGCTTCGTACTGGAGTCACCCACCCAGCTGGTGGCCCTGCACCTGCAGGGACCCTCTGCTGGACAGAAAGGTGAGAGCATATGCTCCCATCTCAATGTCCCTGTCCCCAAACCCATGACCACCCAGGAGCCACCCCACAAACCCAAGACCACCCATTTACCTATCCCTTCTCTCTGCAGTGAAGCTCAACATTGCTCTGTACCGCCCTCGGTCATCTCAGGGCACTCCAGGGTCTGGAAAGATGCCGGTGGCATTGGGCATCAAGGGCTACCAGCTCTACATGTCATGTGTGATGAGTGGCACCAAGCCCGTGCTGCAGCTGGAGGTGAGCAGGGGGTCCCACCAGTCTGTTCTCTGTGGGGCTGGGGGCTCCACTCCACCTTGACCACCATTTCACCCCCCGTGGCTGTAGGAAGCTGACATCAGGAGGGATATTGAGAGCGTGGAGCTGACCCGCTTCATCTTCTACCGCCTGGACAGCCCAGCTGAGGGCACCACCCGCTTCGAGTCGGCCGCCTTCCCCGGCTGGTTCGTTTGCACATCGCTGCAGCCCCGCCAGCCCGTGGGCATCACCAACACCCCAGACCAGGTGAACATCGCTACCTACGAGCTGAGTGGGCGCTGAAGACCCTGCACCAACCCAACCGGCAGTCACCGGTTTTCAGGCTGTATGTACTAAGTACAACCCCTGGGACACGACCCCCCCTCGCCATCTATTTCATGTGAAATAGCAGCTCTGGGCCCCATGGGCTCGAGCCATCCCAGTCTATATTTATTTATTTATTGTGTCTGCCCATTGCTTTGGTACTTATTTATTGTGCCCCCTTATTTATTTTTGCTTTTAACTTGTATGTGGATGGAGGCGGAAATAAAAAGTTTTCTAGAACAGCATTGCTTAGCTCATTGCTCATGGGGAATGGGGTTACGGATAGGAAAATCCTTCTGCTTTGGCTGCTTTTTGGGTGAAAATCCAGGGCGTGGGGGGCCACCCCACAGCCCAGGGACCACCCTGACCCATGCAGGACCCTCCACCACTCTGTCTCCATGCCCACACCACAGCTGGGAGGTGACTGAGGTGGGCATGCCATGGTGGATCCCCAGCAGCTGCCTGAAACTGTCACCTCTGCCCCAGCTGTGGCCAGCACATGGCATGGTGGGCCACAGTGCAGCAGGACAATGAGTGGCATGGCATGGCATGGCATGGCATGGCATGGCACAACTGTGCTGTGGCACTGTCAAAAATAGGTTAGAAACTTGTAAAATAGTTGATAGATTGTTAAGCATGTACTGTTAGCTTGGTTGTTTTATTGTAAGAGGGGTTAAAAGGGTAATTATAAGAAATATGGTACTCAACGTACCATAACACACCTCAGTAAAGGGCACCACCCCCAAGCGAAATGAGCCTGGACAGAACTGTCACGGGCCAATCAAACTCTTCATGCAAATTAAGGATCCAAAAAGAAACCAATCCAAACAGATAAAAAGCAGGAGAAAAAGGGGGCATCTGCCCCAATGAATCCGTGCCGCCCCACCTGGAACATCGGGGGCATCGCTGCTCAAGAAAACCCAGCGCCGGCGCTGCAGCATCCTCGACGGGAACGCTCCTGCTCGGCCCGCAGGCCCTCATGCTTTAGGCCTTTTTTTTAATGATAATAAACGCTGAAATCACTGTACTCTCGGGAGCGTGTCCCGTTTCTAACAGCACGGCGCGGCCTGGCTCGGCGCAGCACGGCTCCTCACGGCACAGCAAGCTGTCACTGAGAGGCCGGCCCCGCCCCCTGCCCTCTCAGCCAATAACAGAGCCAAGGCCGGCGTTTGGCTCTCCCTATTGGTCGCTTTGAAGAAGGCGGTGGCCAATAGCGACGGCGCGGCCGTTGTGGGGATCGCCGGTGGTCGATCGGCGACAGCGCCCGGGATGGAGCGGGCGGGAGCTTCGGAGCTGGGTCTGAGGGGTCCCGGTACCGGGGAGGGGGCGGAGGAGAACGGAGCTGAGAGGCTCTGTGATGCGGGGGAGCCGCGGACCCTCTGGGGCGGGTGTCTTGTGGGGAGGCCCGAGTTCTGCGGGAGTGCTGGACTGGAGGGAGCACGGATGGGCCTGTGGGGAGGGTGCCAGGGGCCGCCTGGGGGCTGCTGAGGCCTTGGGAGGGAGCGTGAGGGGGCAGCGGAGTGCCTGACGGTGTGGCACTGATGGGACTATGGGGAGGGTGCCGGGGGCCGCCTGGGGGCTGCTGAGGCCTTGGGAGGGAGCGTGAGGGGCAGCGGTGTGCCTGACGGTGTGGCACTATGGGACTGTGGGGAGGGTGCCGGGGGCTGCTGAGGCCTTGGGAGGGAGCGTGAGGGGCAGCGGAGTGCCTGACGGTGTGTGAACCCGCGGGAGGCGCCCACAAAACGGGCGCAGGGACGCGGAGGTGTGGGAGTGTGTTGGGGGGGTCGTGCTGCTCTCAGGGCTCAGTGGAAGCCTTTCCTTCTGCAAACTGAGCCGTGCACAGTTGAGGTGTTGAGTGGCATCACGCTGTGGAGGTCAGGAAGAGTAAGTGCCAGGGAGCCTCTGGGCAATATCATGTGCAAAAGGGACTTTATGGGAATAGCACTGCCAGGCTCCCAGGCAGGGAGGTTGAGAGGTGTGCAATGTAGTGTTTGAGAGTAAGAGAAATTCATTGTCATGAGTACTCAGTCTTTGAGTACTGAGACCTGTGTGCACTGCATTTCCTGTCATCTCTCTGCAGCACAATGGAGGAGCCAGCTGCAGAACTGCCAAGCAGCCAAGGAAAGGCTGAAATGCACAAGTGCCAAGTAAGTTAGGAGGATGCTGGGCTTGGATGAGATGATATGTAAAGGTCTGGGGTATAGCTGGCTCTCCCCACTGGGCAGTGTCTACCTTCTCTGGCCTGTGTACAAAGAACCAGCTCCTGTCAGGGCCTTGCTGTCTGTGCTCTGCCCCCACAGCACCCTGGCACCAGTCTGTAGTTACTGGCACCAGGAGCAAAGGAATGGTTTGAGTGCTGCTGTTTCCCAATGGCTGATGGTGTCTCTTCTGCATGTTTTATGAGACTCTGTGAAACTTCCTCATCTCAGCTCCTGAGACTGCCAGAGCCAGGAGCTCCAAACCTGCTACCTGCAGACCACTGCCTGCAGGAATCATTTTGGTTAGTTTTGTTGTCCATGGAAGTTTTGTGACAGCCTTGGATGTTAATGGCTTGTGTTGCTTTTCTGTTGCCACACAAAAGAAAAAGAATTAATAGTATGTGGCAGTATTCCTCAACAAGTTTTTGATTTCTGAAAGCTATTCCTAATCTCCTGTGTCTGGGACAACCAGCAGTGGGTTAGATGCCTAACTCTTTCTGCTTTTCTTATGGCTGATAAATAACCTGATAATTTGTTAAATAACCTGATAACTTTTTGGACTTTTACAGACCCTTTTTAAAGGACTGGACTAATCACCTGAATCCACCCTTAGAACCAGTTTCTAAACTCAAGCATGTAAGTAGGAAGCTTTTGAGTCTTTCATGCTTTCAGTGAGTCTGGGCAGAACGGGGTCCCCTGTCACAAATGAGTGTTTTATGGTTGCTTAAAGAATCACTGGCAAGGGCAAAAGCAGGTTTAATATTGAACTGAAAGCACAACAAAGTTCATTGTCAAGCTTCACTCTGCTTACTGGATGGTTAAAGCACATGGAGAAAAAGCAAGCTAAAATCTAAAATCAATCAATCTGAAAACAAAACCAACCCAAAAATTATCTGTGTGGAAGCTGGGGGAGTGGGGTAGGGAAAGGGAAGGGTAATGATATAAGGGAATAAGGAAGGTTGATTGAGTCACAAGATTTAGAGCAGACTGCCTTGCTGATCTGAGCACTGGGCTTGACCAACAGTTTAGGCCTGAAGGTTTTAACAGTGCTAACACTGCTTAAACTTAACAGCACTTAATTAATAGGTTAAATGACATAATTTAACAAAGGATTCGTATAGAATTTACTGTATCACATTAATAACTTGCTCAACAGGCCTGACTTAAACTCTAAAGTACTTAAGAACCAAGGAAAGCCACATTCATGGAACATTTGCTCTAGCATACTTAAACATACATAGACCTAAGGAGTTTGTATGAGGTATATATCTGTGAAAAATTCCCCTTGGATTCAGTGAAGGACTCATGTTGGTGCCTTTGTGTCACTGTTGAGACAGACATAACAGACTTAAGAAGGCTTCTCTATACTAGGAGCCTCCCCTAAAATGGGAAATGTAAACCCCCTCCCTCTGAATTGTTATAAATTTGAAACTAAGGGGGGCTCTCAGGCAAAGATATGGGAGCAGGAATCAGCTCTTTCTTAGGGGAGAAAATAAAAATAAAAAAAAAAAGCCCACCACAATGCAGTAAAACAAAACAACACTGACAAAGTCAGAATACACCCTGACACCCTGTTGGGCAGGGCATTGGTAGCAGTCCAATTGGAGTGGTGGCTGCAGCCCTCCTGCAGTGTCAGCTGTGGCTCTGTTGGAGCAGGCATCCTGTAGAAGGGTGGTGTAGATGGGCCTGGTCTGCCTGTGAAGATCCAGTGGAAGAGGCAACTGTTCCTCTGGGAATCCAGTTGTTCTGCTGTCCCAAAATCTCAGACCAAATCCAGGCAGGAATGCTTGGCTCCTCCCTCTGGGCAGAGCATCTGTCAATGGGATGATGTAATTTTATCAGTCATGCAGTGACACTCAGTGGCCCATTAACAGCAGATGTCTCCCCTGAAGGAGGATTAGTTTGTGGAAGAGATAAAGAAAACAGCCCAATTAACAGAAGACAACTGCCACACCTCTAATAGATGGCAAATAGAATACATATTTCCTTGAAATCTAGACACTAACCTTTTCTGACTCACAGGCCAGCTGTGAGCCCCTTCCACACCTTTGTATCTTCTCAACAGGCAGAAGGGTTGAGCCTTGGGGAAAGGGGATATCTGTGGGAAGATGGATTGTAGGAGAATAGAGACAGTACTGAAGGCAATCTCACCCCTGAGCTGCAGCTGTACTAACTACCAAGGATTAGGAACAGGCCTGCCCTTCACTATAGCCAGCAAGGATGGGTGTTGTAAAGAGTGGGTTAGCTAGTTGAGAGGAGAGATGGAGTTTGTTAGCTGTGCTGTGAGGAGGAAGGGTGAGGTGGTCTTGCAAGGGACAGGAAGGAGTCAGTGTTGCAAGGAGCTGCCCATGAGAAACTCACAGAGAGGGTATGGAAGTTTTATAGTAAGATAATAACAGATATCAGCCCAGGCTCTGTTGACATCATTAAATGTGAGAGTTTGCTGGCTCTGAGAAGCCCCACTCAGTGGGAGATGCTGGTCACAGCTCTCAGCAGTCCAAGAGAGCTCATCAGGATCCCTGCTTATAGGGTCACAAGAGAATTTACTTTAGTCATAATAATTTTTCATCCTGGCTGCAATTCAGACAACTTACTTTGAAAACCACATCCCCAAGTCAGGGTCATGAGTTCCTGACTGCAAATGGGGGACATACCACAGATTGCTAAATAGCTGGCAATGAGTCAACTAGCTGTTTTTCAAAGGAGTTTAGCTTAGTTAGGAGTTTCAGTTTGGGAGACTGCTCCTTTGCCCATGTCCTGGTGGGTGTTGTGTTTTTGTCCTGTTGACAGCTGCTTTGTCACATGACTGTCCCCTGGGCAAGCTGGCAGGGTCTGACCCAGCTGCATTCTCCTTGGAGCTGAGAGCTGCTTTGTCTTTCTAGGTTAACAGCAACAAGAAGGATGTTCTTGGCACTGTGATGGAGGGTGCACAAGAGGATGGCAAGCTTGGAGCCAAAGCCACGCAGGACACTGGCCACACTGCTCTGAAGAAGGCTTCAAATAGATGCCAGAGAGCAGGAGGGGTGTGCCCAGTGCAGCCAGGGAACAATGTGACGTTTCCTGCTTCTGCACTGGCTAGAGGCAGGCTCCCACCTTCAAGCTCTGGTCACCTAAATCCAGAAAGGAGCCAGAAGCCTGCACAGGAGACTGTCACTGCAGCAGCACTGCAGGTGGGAAATGACCACTCTCTGCACTCCCTGAATGTGGGGCTGCAGGACAGGCTGGTCTGCAATAAGGAAAACCTTGGCCCACAAGCTTCCACATCCTCAGAGCTGATCAGAACTATCCACTCCAATAAAAACAGTCTCAGGAAGGAGAGAGTCTTGGCCCACAGGCAAGGAAAATCTGGAACATCAAGGTCTGTTCTGGGTCAGAAAGGAAGTATGGGCAACCACCAGGATAAGGAAGAGACAGATCTGGACAAATTCAGGAAAGCCCTGCCAGAATCAAGAAGGTCTGTTGGGAGGCACCCTGGGTTTCTCTCCCACCAATTCAGTAAGTGGAAGGAAAGTGTGTGGCCACTCTCCTGCTTTAGCCTCAAGGCTTATGCTTGGGAGTGATTTCCTTTCCCAGTCTAGAGCTCAGGTGTGTTTCTGAGATAGATATACTGATTCTTTTTAAGCAGCTGAAGCCACCACCTTTGTGTCCTTCCTGTCCATCGCCTCTTTAACCATGGGCCTTGGCCATGGCAAAGTGACACCTGGGTTCAGGTTGGCTAAAGGAAGAGTCCAAGGAAAAACAGCAAGCTCTTGTCAAGTTACTGTCTGCTGTGGTAACTGTGATTTCTCTGTCCTTGGACAGGAAACAGCTGGAGGAGTGGTTGGCATCCAAAGGCAAGACATACAAGCGGCCACCAATGATGCTGCTTCAGAAGCAGGCGGTGAAAGCGTCCTGCAGAAAGGTCAAGGCAGCAGAGAAGCAAGAGAATCCAGAGCAGCGCTGCCAAGCAAAGATCAACAACATATTTACTGAGTGCCTGAAGCTCATTGAGGAGGTGAGAATAGGAAAGGAGCTGCTTGAATGAGCTTTTCCTCTCCTGAAGATGGCAGGGAATGAGGGCCATGTCCGTTCAGTGGCAAGAGGGGAAACATAGGAAAATAAAAGTCCTCATAAAGTTTTGGGTAGGCCAAAGGCATGCAGAGGCAGACCAGAGCTTGAAGGTGGGAGCCTGCCTCTAGACTGGGAGAATGGAGAGGGAGCTTTCCCCCACTCAAACAAACTGCAACAGAGAGGTACCCTGTCAAAAAAGACTTGTGGTTTTTATCTGCCATGGTTATGTAGGAGACTTGCAAAGCCAGACTTTTGAGGGCCTCCTCCTGGAGACTGATGGGAGCTGTGGTCAGGCACGATCTGCTTCTTGGAGCACACATTCATCCATGCCATGGACACCTTTTTCAGGCCCTTACCCTTCCCCTTGCAGGGTGTCCATGCAGAGGAGATCTCAGCAGTGCTGTCCCTTGTGCCACGGGCAGAGAAATTTGCCAAATTCTGGATCTGCCAAGCAATGCTGCTGGCCCGGAGCGGCCCCTTTGATGTGTTGCAGCTGTACAGAGAAGCAGTCAGTGCTGGGGCTGAGGTGAGTGGGGCATGCCACCTCCCTGTGTTCCCTTCCTCTGCTCTGGAGGGCTTCCTCGAGATCAAGGGGCCAGGATTTGGAATGAGTTTAGCAGCATTAAAAGTGAAAAAGTCTTTTAGAGCTGCCAGTCCCATTCCATGCTGCAGGATGTGCCCATGCAGGGTGGGCACCTGGCCAGCTGTGCTGGGTGCTGAGGGATCCCACTGGGCAAAGGGGAATACTGCAGCCTCTTCCTGCTGTCCTCAGCACAGGCTGAGCAGCAAAAGCCTTTCCTCCCATTCAGCTCTAGCTCTGGTCTCCATTCCCATGCCAGACCTGCCCTGACCCATGTTCTGCTTTTCCTGCAGCCAGTTGAAGAGCTCAGACAAACTGCTCTCAAGATTTTGAAGGATGCAGGCCAAAAACTGGAAGGTAACCTGAGCATTGTGGGCTTGGTGAGCATGGGCAGGCAGGGGCTCCCTGGTGTTGCCAGCCTGGAGGCAACACTCTTCACAGTCTGTCCCAACACCTCATGTCCCTCCTGAGGAGTGTAGCCATGATATTTTATGAAAAATCCTTTGCTAGGATTTTTCCCCTCCTGAGGAGCTGAGGGCCTCAGGAAAGAAATGAAAGCAATAACTGTCTGCTGCTGTGGAATGCAACAGGTGCAGCTGTGTTTGGTGCATGTTGGTTGTTTCTAATTAAGAGCCAACCACAGGTGCAGCTGCATCGGACTCTGAGAGTCACAAGATTTTGTTATGCATTCTGTTCTTGTTCTTTCTAGCCTTCTGATCAACCTTTTCTCTCTGTTCTTTTAGTATAGTTTTAATGTAGCATTTTAATATAATATATATCATAAGATAATAAACCAGCCTTCTGAAACATGGAGTCAAGCCTCGCATCTGCACACATGGAGAGTTCACAACAGAGGAGTGTTGTGAAAGTCTGGAATCCTGATCTGAAAAATGGGAGACTGTTACTCTGCCTGGGCTAGGGAGAGTCTTGGCCCTGCAAGCCTCTGCAGGCAGCAGAGTGCCAAGGTGTGATCCCTAGCCTGCACTGCAGCTGTGTTGCCCTTTTCCTTTCCTGCCAGGAGAAAAGGCAGAGGAACCCATTCCTTGGGAGCCTACCACACCTTGTCCAGCTGAGAGGCAGCCCATAGCATCGACTCCAGGCCTGGTGGGGAGGCCCATGACCTCCCTCCCCCCCTCAGTCAAGCTGCAGGTTACATCTGCATCCAGGTAAGGCTGAACCTCCTGCTCCTGGCAGCACACACCCTTCCACGCCAGTGGTCCTCTGCAGGGTTTACCCTGTGGCTGCATTTGTCTTCACAGAGAAAAGCAAGGCACAATTCTTCCCAAGGATTTCTAAGGTTCACATTCTCTGAACCTCAGTGAAAGGAAAAACAATTCTTATTTGCTGTGCCTGTGTTTGTGCAAAAGTAGAATGCAATATGGAGATTGGGTACCCAGAGTGATGGTGTTTTGTTTCCTTGGCCTATCAGAGCCAAGAGTGTGTGTGTGTTGGGACTGTGGGCTGACAGTCATGGGATGAGTGCAGTTGTGTGCAGAGCTGAGTGCTTGGCACATTCAGTTCAGATGTAATGTAATATAGTGTAATAATATATAAAATCTGACTGTATAATAAAGTAATTAATTAGCCTTCTGATATCCATGGAGTCAGATGCATCATTCCCCTCCCTCATCAGGGGTGCCCTGTTTCAATATCACCCAATGCTCTTCTTCTCTCCACAGAGGAAAGGAATTCCTGGAAGGCCTAGAACTGAAATTTGTAACTCCCGTGCGGCGCTCCCTGCGGACCGAGAGGGCTCAGAGTCGCTACCCAGAGATGCTGAAGGACCACGACCCCGTGGTGTCATCCCTCAGTGAAATCCTGGATGCTGAGGAGGACACTCGCTTCTTCTTCCGAAAAAACAAGGCTTTGCCAGAAGTGGCAGAGCTGGAGGGCTTAAGTCCATATCCCCCCAAGAGCTCCTGAGGGGTTCCCAGCAGGAGCAGGCTGCCTGCTCACAGTGCTGCCTTGTACACACTCTCCTGAGTGCTTGAGGCTTCCTGGTTGCCTCACAGTAGTACTTTCTCCTTGCTTTGTCTCTAGCTTTTATGTATCAAACTCTTGCTGCCCCTCAGATGTAGAGGGGAGGGGTTGGCACAGAATAAGCATGGATCAAATGAATATCTCAATGTTGTTTTAAATATCTAAATGCAGTTTTAAATATTAAACTTTGCATTGGAGATGTGTGCGGGCTAGTGAGTGGTGTGGAGACAGCAGCTGTGTCTCCTGGGATTGTGGCCATCACACACACTCTGGGACCCCAGCTGCTGCAGTGGGGCTGCCAGGGATGCTGCTGCAGCAGTGGCACTGCCTCTTCACCCTGCTGCTGCATGCCCCCAGGCTGGCACTGAGCTGGTGGGAGAGCGATGAGCTAAAGGGGCACCAGGCAGATCTGAATTAAAGGGGCAGGAGCTGGCAGACTTGGGGGGAGCCTCTCCTGGCTCAGGGCAGAGTCAGGAGAAGGTCCCAGCTGCCCAGGGACAGGCGTGACAGGGACCATGAGTCAGGGCCACCAGCCATCCTGTGGCCACCAGAGGTGGTAGCTGGCCACGAGTGCAAGCGAAATTCAGGAAAGCCCTGCCAGAATCAAGGAGCATGTCACAAAACAAGTAACACAACTCAGCCATTGCAGCCATCTCAGTTCCTTCCTGCTTCTGCTAATTTGATACATAAAAACCCAGGGACAAAGCAAGGAGAAAGTATTACTGTGAGGCAACCTGGCACAGCTCCAGGGGGAAGCCTCAAGCACAGCCAGTCTCCCCCGAGTGAGAAGATTTCCCACCAAGCCTCCCACCTTGGGCAAGTCCCAGGTCATCACAAACCTGAAATCCAGCCTGAACTCAGGAGTCACTTTGCCATGGCCAAGGCCCATGGTCAAAGAGGTGATGGACAGGAAGGACATGAAGGTGGTGGCTCCTGGACACACAGCAGCATCCCAAGGGACAGGTCACAAAAACCAGTCTCACAGCATACACAACTCCAAAACTCGTGTTCCTGAGGATGATTTGAGAAGCAGGAGAGATCAGCCTGGACCAGAGATGCTGAAGGCAATTGGCATGCAGGCTAGGCGTGTTGCAAGGACCCCATCAGCTGCAGATCGTAGGTAAGTGTCAGCTCTGGGTGAGCCAGCAGCACCCTGCTGAAAATGGAGTCAAAGTCTTTTATGAGTGTAAGCTTGAGGGGAGGTTGATGCCCTGAAAAAGAAAGGGTTGGGGATGATTTTAAGGGGCATCCTGTGTTCCTCTCCTGTTGCCATTGAGTCCGGGACGGGAACAAAAAACTCCAGTCCTTGGAAGGTCTCTGCCAAACGGGCAGAGGGAGGATTGCAGGAGCGGCTGGAAGGATGGCTGGAGGGACAGAACGCCTCCTCCTCCTCCCCCCTCTCTCTCCAGGACCGCTGGTCCGTGTTGGCAAAGGGAAAGGAGAGGTTTTCCCGGGAATATGGACTTGCACCCTGGCTTTGGGGCTCTCTCGAAGCAGCGCCGCGGTAGTTTCTCTCCGGAGAGGCGGCGGAGCCGCTGCCGGCCAAGCAGGCGCGGCCAAGCCCGGAACAGCGGAGCCGGGCGGAGCCGGGCTCGCCAAAGGCACCCCGGCGGCAGCGGCGGTGGGCTCGGGACCGGCCGAAACGAAGGAACACCGGCTGTTCCGTCCGGAGAGGGGGCGAGCCCACCGGTCCCTGCGGGCAGGAATGCTGGAAATGGTGAGCAAAGGCACCCCCGCCGCCGCTCCCGGTGCGGGGAGAGCCGGCGGACATGGAACGGGATGCTCCGTCCCGGTCGATCGGGACACGGTTGTCGGAGCCATCGCAGGCGAAAAACACGTTGGCTTTGTCACTTTTCTGTTGCCCGGGGTCTTGCCTTGAAAGGCTTTAGAAATGCGTCTCCAGTAAAGCCCTTGGGAGTGCACTTAGGAAATAATCACCGAGGTCCTCCCAAGTCTCTGGATCAAAGGCATCGCTCGCATCCACGGCGAGTCCGTGATTTTTGGCCCGAAATAAAAGATCGCGAAGTGCTTGATCAGAGACAGGGGGTTTCGTGGGAGTTATCAGGTTCCTCCACACGGAAACAATCTTTTGTTCATCTGCGGAATGTTGGTTCCTCATTTTTAAGGAAAACCCGTCGCTCGGCAGGCTGCCACTCCAAGAGACAGACAGTCTGCTGTGCTGGGAAAACCCGTCCTTTACTCAGTTCTCGGCCTCCCGGGGACGATGCCTTCCCAGGAAGGGGACGATGCCTTCCCAGGAAGGGGACAAGCCGGGCACAGTCAGCGTTACCTCGCTCCGGAGGGCGCCGGGGCCTGCAGGGGTCGCCGGTGACCGGGGGCGGCAGCAGCGGCTCCGCTCGGCCGGGCAGAGGCTCTCGGTGGCTTTTATAACCCCACTCGCTAAGCCCAGATTGATTTGTTTTAGAGTAAAAAAAACCTCTCACGCTATTGGTGAATTGAGAATAGCGCGCTCTGGAAAATCGTTTCTGTAAACAACAGGTGCGGAAGGAGAGGTGATAATTGTTTTAATTCTTTTATCTAAGTTTTCTCACAGTTCCTCACAGCTTCCCAGGTAAATACTGGGGAGTTATGTCTATTTGTGTCTCTCTCTGTTTAGATTATATGTGATTAGCACACCTCTCCCACCGATTCTCCCAGCCCCAGAGCAGAGGTGTATCACCGAAGGGATACTGGGGACAGACAAAGGAGATACAGAGACTCCATCACCAGAAGGCATGAAAAAGCACTTTATTATTAGAAATCCATAATTCTTATAGAAACAATGGTGGACCTAAGACCTGATTGGCCTTTAGGAATCTTCTCGTACCTACTAGTCAAGAAGGGACAACTCCTTCTTGTAAACATCTTTGACAGAGATTGCCTGCCAAGGGCAGAGATTGAGATGATCATTGTTTTAATTCTTTCTCTGAGCTTTCTCATAGCTTCTCACAGCTTCCCAGGAGAATCCTAGGAGGGCTATGTCTCTCTGTGCTCAGAGGATATGTGATTACCACAGAGCTGGGGATAACTTGGAGCTCCACTTTCTCCCTAGCAGCTTGTGCTTGCCCCAGCTGCTGGACAAGGATTTGGGGACTGCCCTTTCCCCCAGCTCCCAGGTGCAGGGACAAAGCAGTTTTCCTTTAAAACCAATTTTATGTCTCTGCGGTGCCAGGAGTTTTGTGTCTCTTTTATAAATAGAAAAGGGTAGAAAGAAAAAAAAGAGGAACAGCAGGTGCAGGGGGTTCCACTGGAGCAGGTGTCACCTGCAGAGCCCCACCCCATCCACCCAGCATTGCAGTGCTCATGGCCAGGCCCAGAGGCTAAAGGGACAGGGGCTTTTAGCTGCTGGGACCCCAGCTGCTGCAGTGGGGCTGCCAGGGATGCTGCAGCAGTGGCACTGCCTCTTCACCCTGCTGCTGCATGCCCCCAGGCTGGCACTGAGCTGGTGGGAGAGCGATGAGCTAAAGGGGCACCAGGCAGATCTGAATTAAAGGGGCAGGAGCTGGCAGACTTGGGGGGAGCCTCTCCTGGCTCAGGGCAGAGTCAGGAGAAGGTCCCAGCTGCCCAGGGACAGGCGTGACAGGGACCATGAGTCAGGGCCACCAGCCATCCTGTGGCCACCAGAGGTGGTAGCTGGCCATGAGTGCAAGCGGTCCAGGGCCACTGAATCCTCCCGTGGGCAGCACGGCAGCACTTGGGGCGTGCTCAGGCTTCTCCATCATCTTCCTCCTCCCCACTTGAGTCCTGAGGGACCTGAGGCAGTGCAGAAAGGGCTCAGCGGGCACAGGACCCCAAGGGCATCAGCGTGTCAGGATGCCCATGTCCTTCTGCCCCTCTGCTCCTGCCACCCACCTGGTGGGGGTCACCATGCTGGGCCAGCCAGGGAGGAAGGGCAGTGGCCACGTCCCCTGAGTCCCGGCGAGAGTGCTCCACCGTTGACTCATGGGCCATCTGCAGGGGTGGACAAGGCTCCCAGAGAGAGGCTGGCACCAGCCCCGTGCCCCTCAGGCAAGGAGGGAAACTGAGGCACAGTGGGTGACCAGCAGGGCCTGGGGGTTGCGTACCAGGACAGGAGGTGCCCGGAAGAGGTAGCTGAAGGGGTAATAGAGGAAGTTGATGAAGGAGGCAGCGTAGAGGTCTGCGTAGCGCATCAGCTGGTTGGCAAAGAGTGTCTGACGTGAGCCACAGCGGAACAGGCTGCCCATCTTCCCGTAGCACATGTCCATCTCGTGTGTGACTTTCTGTGGGTGCAGCAGCACAGTCAGGGCACACAGCAGCTCCTCGGGGGCTTTCCACAGAGGAAGCTGTGGCACGGGGGGTGAGCTGAGCTGTGTGCCAGCAGGCACAGCACCCTGGGTGTCACCTGGATCCGACGCTTGATGGAGCTGATGTCTGGGCGCTCGCTACTGCCACTGTCCAAGTGCCTGGAACGGAACAGACCCAGCTAAGGGCTCACCTGGAGGGCTCCCCACAGGTGCTCCCACCCTGCTGGTCTCCCACCCCAACCAACTCACTGGTACAGCTCGGCCAGGAAGAGATCCAGGCTCCGCAGCTCCTCAAACAGCTCTGCAAGGGCGACAGGGCCAGCTCAGTGTGGGAGCATCTCCCACTGCCCAGCACGACCCACAAAGCGGGTCAGGGCATGGCCCACTGAGGCAGTTCTGCCATCAAGGGGTGTAGGAGGCTCCAGGCCACCTCCCCTTGCACGGTAAAGTCTGTGTCCCCAACCCAGCACTGCTCACCGCTCTTCTCTGTCCAGACCTGCAGCTCACGGGCCAGCTCGGGCACCACCAGGAAGGTGCGCCAGCCCTGCCGCTTCTTGGACTTGAGGATGTCCCCAAAGATGTGGTCCCCCATGTAGAGGATGTCTTTGCCCTTCACACCCAGCAGGTCACACACCACATCTGAGGAGCCTGTGACAGCCGGGGGTCGAGGTGTGGGGGGTGGGCACGTCCCCCCTGCTGCCCACAGAGGCCAGCCAGCCCAGCTGGGCGCTTACCACCGGAGTACACAGCACAGTGCTGGAGGGGGCCCGTGTACGTCCCGATGCGCAGCTTCCCCGTGTCCTGCAGGACAAGAGGACCCCAGGACGGGGGTTACCTGGTGTCCAGTCAGCCATGAACCCACCTCTCTGTGCCCACAGGAGCCTCCTCCGTGCCTAAACAGTGCCCACCACCCCAACCAGCCCTGCAGCAGGGGAGAGGTGCCCACCGTGTCCACTTGGCGCAGGACGGTGCCCTCAGCAAAGAAGAGGGGCTTGCGGGTGTCCACCACAATCAGGTCGAAATAGGATCTCCAGGGGCGCCGTGGGACGTCAGCCTGAGGGTGCCGGGGAGGGGGTCAGCAGGAGGAGGCTGATGGCACCCTGAGCCCCCCACCTGAGGCCGCAGCTCTCCCACAGAGAGCAGCAGGCACAGCTTTCCCTTGTGCTGGGGAAGGCTGTGAGGAGATCAGGGAAAAGAACGAGAAACAATTCTTTTCTTGGCTTGCTGCACCTGTTGTTGTGAACGTGTGGAATGTGTTATGGAGATGTGTTTACCAAGGGGTGGTTTCTTAACTGGCCAGTGGTGATGGTGTTTGGATTCAAACTGATCTGGAAAAAGCTGTATCGGACTGTCTGGGCTGTCTGGAAGGGCGATGGGTTTCCTAATAGTGTAGGAATAATACCTATACTATAATTCCTATAGTATAGTATAATAAAGTGATTGATCAGCCTTCTGGAATCCTGGAGCCAATGCTAATTATGACCCCGTTCAGGGGCCTGCTGCTGCGACACCCACCCAGCCCACACTGGGGACAGACTCACCTTGTCCTCATTGCTGAAGTCAAACAGGTAGGACATGATGGCCTGCAAGGACACATGGCATCACCACTGCTGCCCCCAGGGAAGGCAGACCCTGCTTGGGCTTCCACACAGCCCCTCTGCCCCCCGTGCAGGGCAGGCTGGACGTGGTGGTGGGGACAGGGACACCCCTACTCACGTCAGTGTAGGTGTAGTCACTGTTGGTGGCCAGGAACACCTTCCCCACCTCCTTCATGCGGCTCAGCAGCAGCGGCACACGGGGCTAGAGAGGGGCAAGTCAGTGGGGGGAGCACAGGGGGGGCCACAAGGGAGGGGAGCAGAGCGGGGAGGGGTCCCTGGGGTTGTACGACTCACATCCTTCACCACGTATTTCTCCAGGTTCTCCAGCGTCTTCTCCTTGAGGCAGCCCTGCAGGAGGAACGGGGTGGGGCTGGCCAAAACCTCCCAGGGCATGCGTGTGGGGAAAGGCCAGCACTGCCAGCACCCCCCAGCCCAGCCCCCTGCCCAGGGCACCCACAGAGAGGTGGACGTGGTCCATGGCCTCGCGCACGTCCTGGAACATGCTGCGGAAGGACATGAAGAGGTTCCCGTGCTTGTAGCCGGTGTCACAGCTGCAACAGGCAGGAGTGGAGGGGTGAAAGGGCTGCCCTGCTGAGGGAAGCTCCCCCCCAGGATTTACACCTGTCTGATCCAACAGAGAGCCCCCGCCCAGCACCTCGCTCTTACTTGACATATCTGGAGCAGTTGGTGAAGAAGTCCACGAGGCAGGCGTAGAGGTGGGCCTCTGTGAGGGAGGGGGCTGTGAGAGGGGGTGCAGGGCGGGACGGCACCCCAGGGTGGTGGGAGGGCAATGGGGGTTCTCACTCACCCGTGAGGTTGAAGAGGGTGTTGAGGATGTGGAAGCGTTTCATGTCATCCCGCTGGATGAACTTGTTGGGGTAATAGTGGAGGATTTCGGCTCTGGGGAGGGAGCATGGAGCTGCACTCCATCCTGAGGGACCTCCAAGTTCCCCCTGCCCCAGGGGTGGTGAATTCCCAGACTCACCCCTTGAGGAAGCGGAAGCCATGGGCACAGACCAGCAGGTTCCCGTGGGAATCCACCTTCAGCAGGTTCCCGTACAGGGCATCAAACACCAGCCCCCTGCACCACACAGCTGTCAGTGCCTGGGGGGCTCCCTTCCCCTTCCCTCCCGTCCCTGGGACCCCTCAAACTGACCGGGTGGGGAAGGTGGGGTCATATTTGTAGGCAAGGATCTCAGGAGGGTACCCAATGGCAACAAGGTGCTCCAGCAGCAGAGCAAAGGCCAGCTCCTCGTAGTCAGGGGACTTGTACACTGCAGGGGGAAAGGGGGATGTGGGCAGGGGCTGGGGGACCCCCACCCTGCCTTAGGGCCCCCCCAAAACGCACTGGCCAAGGTGTAGTCCATGTCAAAGCCAAAGCACTTGATCTTCTCCAGCGCCAGGCTCCGGTTGACGAAGATCCTGGGGGTGACCACGGGGGGAGTTATGGGGTGAGGAGAGGTTTAGGGCTGGGGGTGGCACAGAGGAAGAGACGGGGTCGTGTTTCCCCATCCCAGTCCCTGGTCAGCGCTCTGGAAGGGCTGTGTGCTCATCCCAGCCCAGGGCCCCCACAGCAAGTTACTGGAGCAGAAAAATGGGCTGTGGAGCTGGAAATGGAGCTGCAAGAGGGAGGGGGGACAGTAAACCCGTGTCTGGACCTGTCCCCCCCGGCATGTCCACATGGCACCCAGGACCTTGCCCCCTCCCGGTGCGACAAGGGTCCCCTCCCGTACCTGACCCCCGGGGCCTTCCTGGGGGTCCCGCTCCCCCGCCCCAGCCCCCAGCTCCTGCTGCCCCCACTGCTCGCCCGTCCCCGCGGTCCCCAGCCCACCGGTGCTGGCAGTCCCTCCGCAGGGCCCGGGGGTCGCCGTGCCCCGGGCCCCGGGCCGCCGCCGGGCCCCGCTGGCCCTCGCTGCCCATCGCCACCGCCTCCGGCCGCCGCCGGCCGCCGCCGCTTTAACGGGGCCCCGCGGAACCGCCCCCCGGCCCCGCCTCGGGCTGCACGGAGCCGGGGCACCCCGTGCCGGTGACCCCCGGACGGGACAGCCACCCCCGAACGGGACAGTCACCCCCGAACGGGGCAGCCACCCCCGAGCTCCCCCCGGGGCTCGGACACCTCCTCCCGCCCGTTCCCCGCACACGGGGAGCGCTCCCCGCGCCCCCCGAGCGGGGCTGGGGCTCCCGGTGCTGCCCCCGCCGCCCCGGGCTGCTGTTTGCCCAGCGGCCCCGCTGGCAGCGGGCAGCGCCCGGCGGCGAATCATTAACCGGGGTCAGGGACCGGGAGCGGCCCCGCCGGGCACCGCGGAGCCGCCCCGGGGAGAGCGGGAGGATGGAGCCCCCGGGGGACACAGCGACCCCCGCCCGCGGGGCTGCCCCCCGAGCACAAAAGCAGCGCTCGAAAGCGCGAGTGCGGCCCCGAGGGAGCGACCCCTCCCCGGTGCCCCCGCCGAGGCTCTTGCGACACCCCCGGGACGGTGACGCGGGGCCCCGGGCCGGCCTTGACCCGCGGCACACGGAGGGGCTGCGGAGGGCCGGATAAGGGCCGGGCACGCAGCCACAGCGCTCCCCACAGCGGGACGGGGCTGGCAGGAGCCGCCCCCAGGTGCGGGACCCCGATAACCCCAGCGCAGCGCTGTTTGCAGCCGCTCCCGTGATACACGGGGCACGTGGGGCTCTTATCTTTGTCCCCAGCTCCCTCCTGGGGCACAGGGACAAGGCAGGGAGGGCTGTGTGGCAGCGTTTGGGGCCCCCAGCGTATCCCAAATCCCCAGAACCACAGGCAGCGCTGGCGTACGAAGGAAATCTTTATTAAGTCCGAGGTAGCAGCAGTGACAGGGGGCCAGAGGGCAGCCCCCAGGGCCCCCGAGCAGGATGGTGTCCACAGCACTACGCAATGGAGGCGAAGCTGAACACTGCAGAGCCTGCGAGAGGGGCACCCCACGACTCCCCAGCCCTTTGTTCCAGGGCAGGCAAGGACCAACCTCCATCCTTCCCCCAAGAAATCACTGCCAGGGGATCGGTACAAGTGAGAAAGTGGCCCCCCAGTAACTGCTTATCTACAGCTACAGCAGATCAGGGGGGTCACCTGGGGGCACGTACAGCCCTGGCAGTGCACCCCCACAATGTTAGCGCCAAGACAGTTATATTTAAAAAAAAAAATATATATACTTCAGTGACAGCACTACGCGCAGATGGGCGCAGCCGCCACCCCACAGCAGGCAGCCTCGGTGGCTCCTCCAGGGAGGACAGCAGTGGGAAGCAGGAGCAGTGGGAGCCCTGGTGCCCTCACACCTTCAGGACAGCGAACTTGAAGACAGCCATGATGGCAGCGCTGATGAGGCCGGAGATGGGGACAGTGACAAACCACGCCATGAAGATGTTCCGGAAGAGGCGCCAGTCCACGGCCTTCCTGGAGCGCAGCCAGCCCACCGAGACCACCGAGCCCACCTGCACGAGGAGTCGGGGCATGGCTCAGCACCAGAGCACCCCCAGCCAGAGCCCTGGCTCCTGCTCCGGCCTGTGGGCACCTCACACAGCGCAGGGCAAGGAGCTGCCAGCCCAGAGGGGTGACAGGACCAGCATCCCGCAGCACTTGGGTTCCCATGGCCTCTTGGCAGAGCCTAGGGCACCATGAAAGGGGTTTTGTTCTCCCATCATCTCCCGAGTGCCCCAGGGACCCACCCCGAGGCTGGGCAGCCGCTGCCACCTCACATTGACATGCAGGCGGCGGAGCTGGGAGCTGACAGTGGCCGGTGGCCCAGAGCGGGGCCTCCCGCACAGCTCAGCCCTCTGGGCACCAAGATTTGGGAACGCTGCCCTCACACTGAGCCAAAGCCATGCCCTGCTAGCCCTCCTACCTTGCAGTGGGTTGTGCTGATTGGGAGGCCGACGTTGGAGGCAATGACCACCGTCAGCGCTGACGCCAGCTCAATGCTGAAGCCGCTGTAGGGACAGAGAGCAGATCAGAACAGGGGCACTGCACACCCCAAAACACCGTGGGCTCAGCTCAAGGCAGCACAGTTTGGCTCTCCAGCCCCCCGGATGAACCCCCCAGCCACACACACCCCAGCTCCACCAGCCACACCCCCAAGAGAGAACGGAGAGGGGCTCCTGGAGCAGAACGCGGCTCTCAGGCTGCTTGGAACCTCCCCTCTGCTCCATGGTAGCCCTTACCTGGATGGTGTGATGGGAGTCAGGTCCTTCCCCATGGTCTGGATGACTCTCCTTCCCCAGACCCACAAGCCAATGCAAATCCCTGCACCCCCATAGAGAAGCAGCCAGATGGGAGTTGCCACCTTGGTAGCCACATCGCCCGTCTGATAGACCAGGAAGAGTGCAACCAGGGGCCCAATGGCATTGCTGGAAGAGAAAGAGGATCTGGTCTAGAGGGCCAGAGGCTCTTGGCAAGACAGAATATCCCTGGAAGTGTTCAAGGCCAGGTTGGACGGCACGTGGAGCAACCCGGTCAAGAGGAACACGTCCATGGCAGGGGTTGGAACAAAGTATTTAAGGTCCCTTCCACCCCAAACTATTTTGTGATTCCGTGATTCTACGAGCACTACCCCCCAGCTAGCAGCCTCCCTGGCTCCCACTAAACCCCACTGACCTGACATCATTGCCACCGTGAGCGAAGGAGCCGAAACAGGCCGTGAGGATCTGCAAGAACTGGAAGAGCAGAGACACCTCAGGCTTGTCCTGCTCGTGCCACTCCTCCAGGGAGCCGCTGCTGCCCTTGCGTTCCGCGGTGCCCAGCTCCACTTGGGCTGTGTTCAGGTCCACGTCTGCAGCCGGGTGCGCGTCCGCCACCGCGTTGCAGTAGCTCGTGTAGCTGTCCATGCGGACCCTCTTCTTAGTGTCCACCACAGACCAGCTGAGCTTCTCCCCCTCCTCGGCGTCCCTGGCACGCAGGGAGTCCAGAGGCATGCCACAGATGGCCATGGTGTAGGAGGTATAGCTGTTATTGCGCCGCAGGGGCTTGTCCCCCGAGTCCCCCATGCAGTCCCCCATCTTGGCTAGGTGCAGCTTGTGCAGCAGCTCCTTGTAGAGGCCGGAGTCCTTGTGCACGGTGTGGTACTGGTACTGCCCCCCCGAGCCCAGCTGGTGGCCCACGGCCTGGCTCAGGGGGACCAGGTTGCCGTTGGGCAGCCGCACAGCTCCTGCCGGTGGGGACAGCAGGTGACAGGGTTAGCCTGGGCTGGGGGAGTCTTACCGGCCCGAATCACCCCCTGCTACTCACCACTGTCAATGCTCGTTTCCTTCAGGTCGAGGCTGGGAAGCCTCTCCTGCTCCGGGGCCTCCTCCAGCTCCCCCAGGTTGAAGGAGACCATCCTCTCCTCCCCGGCTGCCCGGGGGGACACGGCTGACCCTGCCTCAGCAGCGGGGCCCTTGGCATCCCCCAAGGGCATCTTGGCCTCCTCTTGCTCTTCCTTTGGGCAAACGTTCTTCTCCATCAAGGGGCTCTCAGAAGGACTTGATTTTATCTCTCCTGCAAAGAGGGGCAGCCCATCAAACCCCTTTCCACCAAGGCACCCAATGCCAGCAGCATGCCCACACCCCTTGCCACTCAGATTTATGGCAGCCAAATAAAATTTACAGCTCCTCCACATCCTGAACTTTGGAAACTGCTGGACAGTCACACCTTGTCCCGGGCACAACAGCCAAACCATCTAAGCCAGCTCATCCCCTATTTTTAGACACCCCCACCCACACGGGGTGTGGTGAACACCATTATGGGGCTTTTATGTCCGTAATGTCTAGTGCAGAGGTTCCTCTTTGGGCCATGTTTGTCCCGTCCCTGTGGGCAGTGGGATGCTCTGGACTCACTTCTGGAGAGGCTATGACCCCTGAAGCTGACACAGAGGCGCCCAGAAGAGCCCAGCTCCTCTACCAGCCCAGCAGCTCCAGCCTGGGCTCCTCTCCAGCTTCCACTGGTGGATGACAAACCCAAACAGGAGCTGGTCTCCATCCCAAAAAGGCAGCCTGGTTTCCTGTCCACCCTGGGCAGCCAAACCAGCAGCACCAAGCTGTGGAACCTGAGGCTGTTCCTCCGCCTCTAACAGTAAAAGCATGTTTTCTCCAGGTGAAAACATGAGGTCAGCTCCTTCAGACAACAACTAAAACCACCTTCTTGTCACAAACACGACCATTTCCCTGTCACTTTGTTTGCCTCAAGGGCTGGGTTGTGGCATCAACACTTCATCCTGGCATCCCAGCTGAACTGTCTCCCCCTGCATGCCCACCTCCTCCCAGGGATGCTGTGGGCAGGCAGGGAGCATGTCTGACAGGCACAAGAGCCCAGCTCACCTCAGCTCACAGGCAGGAATTAAGTTAAACAGCTGGAGGATTGTCAAGAGCAGCCATAAAGCTGTTAGTCACACCCCAATTACACCAGCACAGCAAGGACATCCCCTCATCACCAACTCCCAAGGCCCCAGCTTGCACACATCATTGATATTCTGGACCACATGCAGCTCCAAGCACTGCTCCAGAGGCAGAGCTCCAGGCTGATCCTTTGGATGCCTTTCAATAGAGTGTTTTGGGTGTTTTTGCTACAGGGCAAGGATTTCGTCAGCTTTAAACTTGTGATCTGCATCAGCCAGGCCAAGGATTGCTCAGCAGGTATGAGAAGATTAAAGGTTACAGCAGCCACGTTGCCTCTTCTCTTCTCCTCTATTAGAGCAGGACAAGCTGTCTGACACTGCCCACAGCTCCAGGAGAGATCACCCTGCAGATCAGTCAGCCCCAGACCCTGCCCAGCAGCACAGCAGCTGCTCCTGGGGGGGTTTGGGTGCCTGGCTGGGAGCAGGCAGAGCCCAGCGTGGCGAGTGCCCCGGTGACTCAGAGCAGGTTAATCCCCGAGCGAAGAGGAGGATTCTGTTAATAACAGCCCCGCAGCTAATGGGATCTCCCACTGGGAAGAGAAGTGGGTTAGCCAGAGCGAGCCCTTCCCCGAGGATGGCAGAGGGACGTGGTACTTACGGTCGATTTTCTTCTTCATTCTGGGACATACAAAGAACCAGACGACGAGAGCACAGACAACAGCACTCCCCGCCGAAATTAGGAGGATACCCCACAGAGGAAGTTTGTCAAAGCCCAGCACTAGGAAATAAAACAACGGATCTTTGAAAACCTCTGGGCAAAACCCTCCTCGATACATGACTTTGGTTTTCCCAGGCACAGGGACTCCATCACCTGCAGCAGCCCTGAGCTAATGCACCTGCCAGGGAGAAACACTGCTGGGAAGGCACCACTGACCATGCTGAGAGCCCAGCTATGCTCTCAGCCCCACAGGCCACATCCCCATCAGCAGCTGACCCTTCAGGCCCCTTCCCCCAGCCAAACCCTGTGCAGAGTGGTGCATGCTCCACACAGCTCCTGTCTCCTCATTTGCTGCAGTGTCAAAGGAAAAAGCACCTCCCAGTGTGGCTGCTGCAGCACCAGTGCTGCTTCCCTGCTCTGGAGAGGACACGGATGCCTGGGTTGCTCCCCCTTGAGCTCTCCAGCCCCTGCAGCTGCTGGGGAGGGCAGCTCTTCTGCTCCAGGAGTCAATGGGAATTTAGGCTTCACGGCATCTGAGGTGATACATGACCCACTTAGGAGCATTCTCACAGGCAGCCTGACTTTGAGCAGAGGACTGGCATC